GCTCCATTATATCTAGCTGATGGTTTCTCCCAAAATCGTCCACCTAGATTTGAAGGAGTGAACTATGGCTACTGGAAAAATCGGGTGGAACTGTTTGTGGGATCAACAGATCCTAAATTGTGGGCAAGAGTAATCAAAGGGCCGCATGAACTCAAGGCAGATCAAGAAAAGTGGAGTGATGAAGATTACGAAAAATTTCAACAAAACTGCAAGGCCACAAATTTGATGTACTGCGCTCTTGGTCCTGAAGAATACCACAAGGTAGCGGGATGCAAAACCGCAAAAGAAATATGGGATAAGCTTCAAGTGACATACGAAGGGACTTCCCAAGTCAAAACCTCAAGGATAAACTCGCTCAAGCATCAATTCGAGCTGTTTAAGATGGAAGAAGGAGAAACGATTCGACATATGTATGAGAGGTTTACTAATATAGTAAACAGTTTGGAGAATCTTGGTAAGACTTACGAGAGTGGAGATCTTGTAAGGAAGATCCTGTGGTGTCTACCAGAAAAGTGGACTCCCAAGGTTACCGCCATCGAAGAAGCCAAAGATTTAGAAAAGCTTGAAATTGATGAGTTGATTGGATCCTTGACAATACATGAAGACAAGTTAACAAAAGTTGGGTCAGAAAAGGACTCAATCGAAAAAGGGAAAAGGGGAATTGCTTTTAAAGCAGCTAGTACTGTAGAAGAGCCAGAAGAACTGGAGGACATGGAAGACGAGGAGCTAGCATTACTGAGCAAGCAGATCAGTCGATTGATTAGGATTAGGAAGGAGAAAAGGATAGGAGGGATGAAGCCCAAAGAATCAGACAGAACTGATGGAGTAGCAAGGCTGGGACAGTCGAGATTGCTAACCAAAGGAAGAAATGAGAATTCACAAGGTCAAAGAGGGATCAGCTCTACTGGGTGTTTCAAATGTGGTAGGTCTGGTCATATAAAAGCTGAGTGCCCATTACTAAAAAGGGATAAGGCATTCACTGCTACCTGGAGTGGAAGTGAAGATGAAGGAGATGATGATGATGATGATGATGAAGTGACCGTCCATAGGTCATACATGGCCATAGCAGATGAGGGTGTGGAAGGAAGGGAACTTTCACTTACAGACATGTTCTCACAGGTAAGTACTTCTAACCCTGGTGAAATGTTTGACTTAGGTTATGATAGTGATGATGAGATGTTAAGCCAAACAATTAAAGAAATTTAGTTAGAATTCGAAAATGTTAAGGTCAAATATTCGAATTTGAAGAAAGAATGAACTGAATCTCAAGAAAATTCGTGATCTAGAGAGTCAGTTGGTCGATTATGAAGTTAAGGTAACTGAAAACTCTAGGTTGTTAGTCCTGTCTCAAAAAGAACATGAAAGTCTTCAGTGGGAGTGCTTAGAATTAAGGAATCAGGTTCAGAGTCTCTCAACCCAACACAGGAGACATAACTATACCAGTAACAGTAAAGATTTTAGTTCAAATTTAGAATGCTTTTATTGCCATAAGAAAGGTCATCTAATAAGAGACTGTAAAAGACGAGTGCGATCAGAAGCTAAGAGAAATAATTTACGAGTTAGAAACCAGCATTATTGGAATACTTATTCATCACAGAAACCCAAGCAGATCTGGGTTATAAAGACAACATAAATTGTGTGTTTGCAGAGGTGTCTTCAAGTGAGCATGGAGACCTCCAAGTGGATTATGGACAGTGGGTGCTCACACCATATGACGGGTAACAAGTACCTCTTTTCAAAACTTAAATTAGGTAACTTTGGTAAGGTTTACTTTGGTGATAACAATTCTGCTGATGTTATTGCGAAGGGTCAAGTTGGGGTCTGTCCTTCAATTAATAATGTCATGTTGGTAAATGGATTAAAACACAATTTAATGTCAATCAGTCAAATGTGTGGTCGAGGATGTAGAGTAGTGTTTGAACCATCCTATTGTCTTGTTGAAAACATGTTAACTAATCAAATTCTGTTTACTGGGAAACGTAATGGTAAGATATATACAATTGATCTCAATGACAAGGATAGTTTTAATGAAACCTGTTTGGTTAGTCTTGATAAAAATATGCAAGAAGACTGGCATAGGCGTTTAGGACATGTAAATGTTAAAACCTTGTCAAAACTAGCTCGTCTAAATTTAGTCAAAGGACTGCCTAACATTAACGAGAAAAAAGAGTTTTTCTGTGATGCCTGTGCAAAAGGAAAGCAAACTAGGTCTAGTTTCAAAACCAATAATATTATTTCAACTGCCAGGCCTTTGGAATTGCTTCATCTAGACCTATTTGGACCCACTAATGTGACTAGCTATGGGGGTAAAATTTATGCTTTTGTGGTTGTGGATGATTATTCAAGATATACATGGGTACTGTTCTTGAGTAAGAAGGATGAAGCTTTCGAGATGTTTAAAAACTTAGTTAAAAGAATAGAAAATGAAACTGGGACTAAAGTTTTTAGTATAAGAAGTGATCATGGGGGGGAATTCTCTTCTGATCCGTTTGAAGTGTTTTGTAATGAACTTGGGATCTTTCATAACTTCTCTGCACCTAGAACCCCTCAGCAAAATGGGGTGGTGGAAAGGAAAAATAGGACGTTAATAGACATAGCTCGAACCATGTTGCATGATTATGGGATACCTAAATATTTCTGGGCTGAAGCTATTAACACTGCTTGCTATGTTATCAATAGAGCATTGATCAGGTCTGGCCTGAATAAAACGCCCTATGAAATCTGGAAAGGAAGGAAACCTAATCTAGGTTATTTTCGAACTTTTGGGTGCAAATGCTTTGTTTTAAATTCAAAAGATAACTTAGGAAAGTTTGACGCTAAGTCAGATGAGGCAGTGTATTTGGGTTATTCTAGCTCAAGAAAAGCCTATAGGGTTTTTAATAAACGGACCCTCAAAGTTGAGGAGTCCATTAATGTGTTATTTGATGAGTCTGCCATTGAGATTTCAGATGAGGTTGATGATGATGACTTTGGTCTTGGGAGACCAGTAGTAGTTGGTTCAAATAATGGTCAGACAAAGCTTACGTAGAAGAAAAGGATCAAGAAGGGGTACACCAAAGTCAGCAATCAGATGTTGAGGAAAGCCAGGTTTCTGAGTTGTCTGAATCAGAGAAGAGTACTAATCCTGGCTCAACTGATTTTCACCCTCCAGCCTACATTTCTAGAAGACATCCTTCAACTCAGGTAATCGGATCAATGGACAAAGGTATGATTACTAGGTCAAAGGCTCCTTTCTCACACGTTGCTTTTGTTTCTCAACTTGAACCTAGAAATGTTCATGAAGCACTTCTTGATGAATTTTGGACTGCCGCCATGTTTGATGAAATGCATCAGTTTGAAAGAGCTAATGTCTGGGAACTTGTTCCTAAACCTGAAAACAGGGTAATAATCGGGACTAAATGGATATATAAGAATAAAACTGATGAAGTTGGGGTCATAACCAGAAATCGAGCTAGGTTAGTTGCTCAAGGATATAGTCAGGAAGAAGGTATAGATTTTGATGAAACCTTTGCTCCTGTAGCTCGTTTAGAAGCTGTTAGAATGTTATGTGCTTTTGCAAGTTCTAACAAATTTAAGCTATATCAAATGGATGTTAAGAGTGCGTTTTTAAATGGGGATTTGAAAGAAGAACTCTATGTATCCCAACCACCTGGATTTGAAGATCACTTGTATCCTAATCATGTATACAAACTTAAAAAGGCTCTTTATGGTCTGAAACAGGCTCCTAGAGCCTGGTATGAAAAATTGAGCTCTCTTCTCTTAGTAAATGGGTTTCAGAGAGGAGCAGTTGATAAAACACTTTTTACTAAACGAGAATCAAAGCACTTACTCTTGGTTCAAGTGTACGTAGATGACATAATATTTGGTGGAACCAGTAAGGATATGTGCCTAGCCTTTGAAGATTTGATGAAAACCAACTTTGAAATGAGTCTTATGGGGGAGTTGACCTTTTTCTTAGGATTACAAATTTCACAAACTCCAAAAGGGATTTTCATCTGTCAGACTAAGTATATTCTGAATATGTTAAAACGATTTAATCTCGGTAATCTGAAAACTGCCATCACCCCAATGGCCTCCTCTTTAAAAATTAACAAAGATGAATCAGGCAAGGCAGTAAATGAGAAAATGTACAGGGGGTTAATAGGGTCTCTCCTCTATGTCACCTCTAGCAGACCTGATATTTTATTTAGTGTCTGTGTTTGTGCTCGATTCCAGAGTGCTCCAAAAGAGAGTCATTTGTCAGCTGTAAAACGAATTTTTCGTTACTTAGCTGGTACGTCTTCCTTTGGTTTGTGGTACTCTAGTGAATCTAGTCTTGAATTAGTTGGTTACTCAGACTCAGACTATGCTGGATGCATAGTTGATAGGAAAAGTACTTCTGGTACTTGTCACTTTATGGGCACATCACTTGTTGCTTGGTTTTAGCAAGAAGAAAAACTCAGTAGCACTGTCCACGGCAGAAGCTGAGTATGTTGCTGCTGGAAGTTGCTGCACTCAGCTCTTGTGGATGAAATATCAATTACTTGATTATGGTTTAGAGTTTGGGTCTCTTCCTGTGTTATGTGACAATACAAGTTCCATTAACATGTCGAAAAATCCTGTGCAACACTCTAAAACGAAACACATTGAGATTCGTTTTCATTTCATTCGGGATTTAGTTCAAGATGGAAAGATTCATCTTGAATTTGTGCCTACTTCTTTTCAATGGGCAGACATATTCACAAAACCCTTAGGGTCAGAATCTTTTATTAACATCCGACGTGAACTGGGGATTTTCTCTCTTCAAGACATTCAGGAAATTCCAGATCACTCCTATCTCTGAGTACTTATGTGCTCCCGTAGTCAAAGTGGCTAATTAGCTATTCTTTAGGGTCAAGTATTTCCTTGATTGATCTTAGTATATTCTCAATCAATTACTACAAGTTTCCTTTGTAGTATCTTTCCCTTCTTGAACCTTACCTTCTGAGGCTATAAAACCCTCGTTCCTTCTGGGTTACTTAACTCATTCTCTCAGTTTTCAAATCCCTTCCTGTTTCACCATGGCTGGTCTCAATCCTCATGTGCCTCTGAATCTTGCACAAGCTGCAATCTTCACTGGGAAAGGGTTCAACAGTCCTGAAGACTATAATCGGTATCTTCTCAAATTTCAGGATCGTCCCTTATGTCCATCTGTAGCTCTTGATCCTGTCAGATTCAATAGGTATGATATGGACATACCTAGGCTGATCAATGATGTAGGATGGTCTGATTTGCCTCTCGATCAATGCTACAGTTTTCGTCCTGAAGCAGTTCGCATGTTTTATGCAAACATGAGACCCTGTTTTAACACCGATCCTCCTACCTTTACAACCACAGTCTACAACTATCTGCTCACCATCTCAGTTGACCTACTGTCATATCTGCTTGGGTACCCCATCCAAGGAGCTGAAGTTGTGGATGAAGTTGATTTTGCAGCGGTAGATTTCAATGAGAATGAGGCTATGCATCTCTATGCGAGGGATATTGGAGCATATCATCCCACCAGATTCGATGCTAGGCGTCTGCCTGATGATCTAAAGATACTGCATTTCTACATCACTCGAGTTTTCCTTCCTCGTTCTCACGGGCTTACTCGCATCTACCCCATGGATATGTGGATCCTGGCTAGTGCCAAAGAAAACAGATGCATCAGTTATCCTCATCTTATGATGGGCCACATGATGCAGTATTGTGATGACTACTATCACGATGAACTGCCCTTTGCGCCTCAAATCACTCTGCTTATGCGTTCCTTGGGTCTTGATCTGCGTTTCAAGGTTGCTCGGGTTGATCTTGATGACTCTCTTAGGGCTCAGTTCGTTCTTCGTAAGGTTCATGCCCTTGTCGGTCGTCGTCGACCTAGGGTCAATGCTTCAGGGGGAGTAATTGTTGGCTCTGTCGTTCCTACTGAAGCTGCTGAAGGTGCACCTGAGGAAGGCCTAAGTCTTGCTGATCTGGTGGAAGGAATACCTGAAGAAGAAAAAGGAGCAGAGGAGGCACCTGAAGAAGGAGGAGCTGAGGAGGCTATGTCTGATATCTCAGATTATCTGTTCTCACCTGATTATCCTTTCTGAAGGAGTCTTAAGATGTTTGTCTAAGGGGGAGTAAGATAGCTTAGTTATCGCATATCGTCTAAGTAAGAGTCAGGGGTTACAAACCTGCAGTATGGGCAGGGTTGTTCGAATAAAGCTCTGTTGATCAGAGCAAGTGAGTCGTCTCTCAATAAAACTCTGTCTAAGAGTTTCGGTGTCCTGGTTCTAAAGTCGTGTCATTGTAGTGTAACTGGTTGCTTTTTGAAATAAAATTACTCCACTTAATGTTCCCCTAATCCTTGAGTTCAGTTTACATTAACTATGTATGGAGCAGACTGCACGTAACGTGGGTGCTAGTGTATGCAGGAACGTCTAGAGCAACAGGCTAGAATCATTGACAAGCTGAGGGGGAGAATGTTGAGGGCAGCTTGTCAAAAGGAAAGAGCCTATTATTCGAGCTGATATCGGAGGATTGATTCGGCTCTCGAAGAAAACAAGGAAGCTATTCAAAAGACTTCCTTACCAAGATCATCACCGAAAAGGAAACTATGAAGCAACGGCTACTGGAGAAATCAATATAAGAAAGAAGAGAATTATGAAGAAGAGACACTTTTCTGGAGATCAATTTCACGAGAGAACAAAGGAGTTGTTAGCTGAGATTGATAAGAAAAGGGACTCGAGTATAGGGCAGGAGAGGGCTTATACTAGAGTGGAGCTGGATAGCTGAGTTGAGTGATAGAGTTTCAATCAATCTTTCTGGATAGGCAGATTGATCTAGGAGAAGAATACTTCTCTGTTTCGGAGCATCAAACATCAAACCCTAGTGAATTGTCGGAGATCACAGAACGTGATTATCCGTCCGTGGAGTAGTCAGTATTGGGATCTTCTTTAACCCAATACTGGAAACCACGTAAAAGTCTCTGTGTTCTTTGTTTCTGCACTTTACTATCTGGTTGGCTTTGTTTTATTCGATCTCTGCAGGGCCTGGAAGAATTCCAGAAACGGGGAACAAACTCAATAGCAGAGGCAAGCTAGGTTCGGGCTCTGAGAGCAAAACGCATCACTTCGATAAAGAGATTGTCGAACGAGTAAAGAAAAGTTAGTGGGCTTTTCTTTTGAGCCCAACGTTATAGAAGCAATCTCTATTAATCAAGTGAAGTGGGTTGTAGTCTGTTTGTTTTTCATTCTTGATTCTGTTCACTTCTCTCTATCTCTCACTTGTTCTACCAGAAGATCGATTTAGGGTTTCAGGTAGGAACGAGGTTGAAGAAGAACAGCACCAGTAGGCATCTCGCGCTCGACGCCAACAGTTTGGATGAGGAATTTGTGTATTGAGGGATTTGAGCCTAATTCTCTCAATAAAAAACCCAGAAAATTTAAAACGAAGGATTTAGCTAAATAACTTGTTTGTTTGAGAATGTGGGTTTTTAATAAGAAAAATGAAATTACAGCTTTGCCCATGTTTCTTTGTCTTCCTCGTCCCTTAGCTTCCTCCACCGGTTTGCGCCTCTGCTTCGCCACCAAATTCGATCTCCTCAAAACCCCAGGCGAGCATCGTCCAAACTCACAGCAGCTTGTTGTTTGTACTCGTCCGGAATTCGTTAATCCGACCTCTCCTCAATCAATCCCGACTATCAATTCGTGACCTAAAACCCTGCAACCCAAATCGATAAACAAGAACTCAAAAACCTACAAGCCAAATCGACGAAACAAGAACCCAGAACTCCAAAATTGATTCATCCCACTTCGTGCTCTTCTCTCTCACATCAGTCAGACCCCTTTGTCACCTCCTAACCCGTCACCACCACCACCGTCTCCTCCAACCATTATCTCCTCCACTTAGATCCGATTGATTGCATCGAAAATAGAGGAATGAATGATTTTGGCGGTGGAGCATAGAATAAGAAGTGGAAGCAACCGCCGCCGCTCCAAGTCAAAATCCATAGTCGGCGCCGAACGACAAATCTGCTCACCCAGAAATCGCAAACGGACAAAAAAATACCAACGGCCCTTTTCCCAAATGAGGAAGGTTTCGAGTTGAAAGGGGTGGAGGATATGGGAAGCAACAATAGGATGGGAGGTCGGAGGGACTGGGTTTGGCGATTGGGAAGAAACAGAGTGGGGAGAGATGGAAGAAGGAAAGAGTTGGGTTGGGGAGAGGGATAGTTATGGAAAATATACAAAAATAATGAGGGATTGTGAAATAGCTGGTGGCCATCAGTTATTTCAAAAACTCATATCTGAGGGTTTTTAAAATTCTTAATTGTATAAATTTTCATCTATCCAAACGTAGGATTGTTTTAAAATCCTGCATAACGAGGGATTGTTTTAAAATTACTCACAAATCTTTTGTTACATTCCCTTATCCAAACGACCCCTAGAATTATTCTTCAGCCCAAAAGATAAAGAAGTAGTAGCTTCTTCTTCCTTCTTGAAACAGTTTATCAAAGTGAACAAAGAACACAATGGAAAGGTAAATGAGCACATGAATTTTAATGAGGTTCACAAATTTAAAATTACTGATCCGTCCTCATTTCAGAATCGGTATCCACCGATTCTAGAAAACTCTTTTTATTAATGATCACCTATCAAGAGAAATTGAAAGTGAGGAATGCAAAGAACAAGCACTACGGGAAAAGTGGCATTTGCCAACACGTGAAAAGTGTTGTAAAAAGTGTCGAAAGTGTTGTCTATGCAATATGCAACACTTTTAGTAGTGTCACCTAAAGGTGGTGTTACCTAAAGTAATATGTAACACTTTTCTCACTTTTTATAACAAAACAAGAAGTATTGCATATGTATTACTCATATGCAACACTATTTTAGGCAACACCTTCGAAACCTTTCACAACATTTTTTGAAAAGTATAAGTAACATGTATTGTTTTATTCATGACAAGTTTTGTCGTCACATAAGATGTTCTAAATCGTGACAAAATAATGCTTGTAACGAATAGTATACGCTTGTGACTATTTTGTGTGGTCACCAATGTATATCTAATGCCACCAGTTTAAGTTGACACAAAAGGTGGTTTTAGTGACGATGTAAACGTTGCAAAATTAAGTTTTTGTGACAAAAATTTTGTTACAGCTGCAACAATATTGGTGACAAACTTTTTTAATTAGACACATGGTACCTTTCGTGAGGATAATAGTTGTCATGAAAGAACACTGGTGTGTCAAATATTTTTGACACGTATGATATCATTTGTGATGATTATGAATTGTTACGAATAGTATATATTAGTGACGGTTTTCAACTTGACCGTATGTATTTTTGTGACAACTTTGTCATCAAAAAATATCAACAACGGTGAGGATTTTAGCTCTCGCAATTTGTATTGTTGGTGACGACAATGTTGTCACATATGTATCCTTTGGTGACAAATATTTTCGTCTCAAATGACAATATATGTGACAGTAGTACATTGTAGGTAAAAAAACACAATAATGATGATATGATTCGTGACCGAAAAGTTGTTTTGTGACAAATAGTGTCTTCATGAAATTTAACAATTGTGACGATTTGACTCAACATAAAATGTATATTGTTTACTACATATATTTGGTCACGTATACATCTTTTGGTGACTAAAACTACACTATAAAATCCCAATGGTGAGGAGATGGCTTGTAATGAATGAATTTTTCGTACTGGAATAATGTGGCGCAAGACTAATATTAGTGACAATCTTTAACCAAAAATAGAGAACAAATTTCTTTAACCACAATCTCAACAATGATTTAAACTAAATATGATATAAAAATAGTAATTGGTTGAAGTTTATAGGTCAATAACACATTTCTCTCTTCTCTTCATCATGTTTTGCTTGTAGGTGTGTTATTTTCTCCTCAAACTTCTTCTTTTCTTCTGCTAACTTGGCTTCAAAATGTTGATGTACCTTTGCTTCTATCTCAGCCAGTGGCGGACCTAAGGCAAGGGAGGGTGTGTCGTCCGACACACCCTCGCTCGAGAATTTTGTGAAGGACCTCCATATTTTTGGTACAAAATTTTTTATTTCGAGATAGTCGACACACCTTCAATAATTATAGCCGACACACCTTCATTATACTCGAAGAATTTATTATCCGAATGAATCAATCTTAATCATAATCCTTTTTATTTTTGTTTAACATAACTCATAAATCATAATCCTATCAATCCCTATTAAAAACAAAAAAAAAACTCTCAGCCCATACAATATACATGTGTGATGTGTGTTGGGCCTCGACCTATAATTAAAAGAGAAAAAAGAATCCACAGCCCTAATGGCCAATAGCCCAGGCGACCACTAACTCCCCATCGTGACTTGTTGCAACGGCAAGTTGCGAAAGAACATTTTTATTTATGAAGATAATCAAAAATGATCTTCGAAATCGGTTGAGTGGCCAATTTATGAATGATTGTTTAGTTTTGTATATTGAAAAAGATTTGCTTTGCAGTATAAGTGATTAATGTATTATAGAGACATTTCAGTAGATGAAAAGTCATCGCGATTCGTTGAAAACATGACATTGTGAACTTTATGAATTATTTTTTTTAATTTCTACTTAATTTTTTATTTAATTTAATTATTATTGTATTTTATCGCCGACACACCTCTCCGACAATCCTGGGTCCGCCACTGATCTCAGCCCTTAATGCAGCCTTATCGACCCCACCTCTTATGGCCCTCTTTCTACTTTGAGAATGCGGCTTTCCTGAGGCAAGAAGAACTGTCGCTTTATAGGACAATTTAGATCCTGTTTGAGCCTGCTCTTTTATTTTTTCCTGCAAAGTAAAATATTTTTAGTACTCTCTTCGTTATCGATCACAACAAAAAAAATTATATACATAAGAATTTGAAATTGTATAATTTGATACAATGATGAAAACAAATTTATATAAGAGGTAACCGTACGTATATTGCTTTTGCTCTAGAGTCAGACCACAATGTGTCTCCTTCTTTGCTCTTCTTGGTATGTTGAGCATAGTAAACCTCATCATGAGACTTCCTCTTTCCAGTCAATGGTCTCTCTAAAATTTGAAGTCAAGTGATTAAATTTATAGTTTAAGAACACTATGTAAAAAATAAAATTGAATAGAAATTATAATTATCCTAATATTAGATATTAATTACCAAAAAAATTAGTATAGGCATAAACTCATTACCGTATTTTCTTCCACTTCTTCGTGTGTTCTTGACCCACATGTATTTGTTCCTTGCACCTTTCCTCTATTATGTTTATTTCTCTTACTCATTTCCTACCACATATATTAATAATAATCAAAGATCTATAAATAATTTCAATTTTGACCACATTGGAAGTAAAAATGTATAAACTTACTTTGAAGTCAGTAGAAGTCCAATATTGAACAATTTTCTCCCAATCATCAACATCAACACCTTCAGGAACATAGCCACTCCTTTGGTTATCGGCAAGTGCAATGAACTTGTCATGCTCATGATATTGCCAAGTTGAATGTGCCGAGCTCATTTTGATCCACGTAAGATCTCTTAGAGCTTGTTTGTCACTACAAGTGAATTTTCTCTACATACAAAAACAAAAAGAAAACCATGCATTGTGGAGAGTCTGTAAACACAAAAATGGTAATGAAAATGGTAAAAAATAAAAGATAAATTTACCTCCACCAATTCAAACAATTTATCAATGTTAGCTTCATCTATCTTGCTCCATGTATCGATGCTCAACTTCGTATTGCTTCTTACTACAAGTCCACAATAATTTACAAATTTCCTCGTGTTCCTACCAATAGGTTTACCATCACTTGAGATGTCCACCTAAATTTTATTCCCCTTTATTGTTGTAAGTTCAACAACATTGCACGTTGTCTTGCCTCTCCTTTTCTTCACTGTAATGGAACATACATATGAACATTATTAATTAAATGACCATTGATCACCACACTGCTTCATTCAATCACTAAACTTATTATTTATATTGACCATTTAAATAAATGTACCTTTTGGAGCCTCGATCTCATACTCATATTCTGGTACAAATATATGCCCTGCGCCCATTTCTTCCCATTGATTTTGGGTCTCATCCGAATCATATATTTCATTTTGTGAAGGGGATCTTGTCTCATCACTATCAGAAGGAATTGATTTGTCTTGTTCTTCTCCCATGAGTCTCGATCTTTTCGAATACACTATAACCTTAGAGCTCATGACCCCTATCAAAGAAATTATTTAGATTAACAGAAAAAAGCACCACAACCAAACAAAGAAAGTAGTCAAACAACAGGGGAGGATGCCTGCACAACAACCAGTAGCCATTCAGAAGCTTATACATCTACCATATACGACCGAACAATAAAATACCTAATTAATTAAGAGAATGGTTGGGTTGAAGTCAATACTAACCAACAACTTAATACCTCCGAGAGAGCGGCAGACGTTTGCGAGGCTGACTGGCAATGACGGTAATGTTCGGGAACTGATGAATAGGTGTCAGCGGTTGATAGACCGTCATTTACACATGTTTTTACCCCCGTTCTTACACCGTTTGAGGTGTTGATTCTCGTGTTTTAGGCCGATTTCACGCTAGGTTGTGCTTGATTGTGATATTTCAGGTCCTAGTACGTGAATGAAGGCTTAGGAGCGAGTCTGGGGTCGATTGGACGAAGAACGGACGAATGGCGATGTTTTTGGGGAGCTGCACGGGCAGACCAGGGAGGCTGCACGGCCGTGCACGGTTGCAAGCTGGCCGTGCGCCTCATGCCGAGGAGCTGCACGGGCAGGCCCTGAAGATTGCACGGCCGTGCACCTGGCCGTGCAAGAAGCCTGAGTTCGACTAAAGGGATACGCTGCGTTTCATGGTGCACGGCCAGAATGGTGAGGTGCACGGCCGTGCGCCCTGGCCGTGCAACTCGGGAAACCCGGTTTTAAAGCCTAATCCGAGCCAGAAGTGAGAGAACAGTGTTTTCAGAGCAAAAACAGAGCCCTAGAGAGAGAAAGTACGAAAAACACATCCTAGAAGCTGTCTTAGAGCTGGATTTCATCGAATCGAGCCTGGAGATCGTCATAGGAGTGAAAATCATCGTCCCGGAGCAGATTATCCTCATCGTTATGAGTATGACTAATCCGATTCTTGTTTTCTCTTCTCTCTCTATGGAGTAGAACCTCTCTCTCACTTGGGGATGAAGAACCCTAGTTCTATGTGTTAGGGGATTGATTGTAATGACTTGGGATGATACTACTGTTTGATTTTAATCGAATGATGCATGTTTCATGAATTGATTTGAGTCTGATCAGCTTGTCTCAATTTCTGCTTCAACCTGAGATAGATAGAATCTGATTAGGTTGTTAGAGCCTCTTCATTCGATAGTAGGAGGTTGGCTATACGAGAGTTAGCCAGTTTACTGCTTTGTACTGGTGTTCTTGGCGCCAGTAGTGGAGTTCTGTGTTCATAGCCTCAGCTTTCTATCCCGGTGAAGACTAGTCGTCTGCCGGGTAGTTAGACTGAGAGGGCTTGGTCAGCTTAAGAGATTCCAAGCTACTGTCGGATCTTCCGCAGTCTAATCAACAGTAAATCAACCCAGGGAATTGCAATTGAACCTAACTAAAGAGCTAGGGGGATTCATTCCCGAGTGACTCTTTCCTGCTTAAGAAAACCGAATAATTTCCTGCTTTATTTCTGTTTTTAGTTTAAACAACAATCACTTACTCTAGTTGGCTAGATAACAGAGAATCACTGAGTAAGCAGTAGATCTAGACCCCGGGTTGATAATATAACTTGCCTGTTACTGCATTCCCGGTCTGCGATTACACTTGGTCGCAGATTGGTGTTGTGTTTTGGAGCGTCAGCGGTCGATGGACGAGAAGAAGAGATTTGCCGCAGAGCTTGTTTTCTTCAGCGGGAACTTCAGCGTGAACGATTGGGATAATAGTGGGGAGTAGGGATTGTCCATGGAATAGAGATTTATTTAGAATAGGAAGAGTCAGATATTTTTATTGTTAGTGGATTTGTTAAGATTTATCAAGTTATTGTTCTGCTCGTATAGTGGGGAAAGTTTAAGTGATTAATAAAACAAGGATCCTATAATTTATAATTATACCTTTTCCGTAAAGTTAAAGTCCATAAATTTCCTCTAGCTACGGTTGTACATAAATATTATTAATACTATTATTATTATAAATCCTTGAGAATAGACTTCTCTAATTAATAAACTACCAAATTAAGATATAATCTGTGACGATCCATAACCCGAAATCACTCATAAGGTCATGAGATGTTTACAGAGATTCACAAGGATTTCAAAGATTAAGTTTGGAGTGTAAGGATAATAAAATATTTTTTTCTTGTATTAGAATTACTTTCGTAATTATTATTTTTTGCAATTTGTATTTCCTTTCATTAGCATATGAGAGAATTTGAGAATATGTTAATTGAGATTTGCTAGGTGAATCGTTGTCCATATGTGAATTTGTATTAGTATTACTTTTCTTCCCTCATTCGACCCTTTCCCTATTACTTCGCCGAATCAGGCAAATCCAGAATCCAGAAGGAACCATCGTATCTAGAAAATTATTGTTACCAAATTATCTTCGTGTTCAGAATGTTGATCTTTCTTGGCGGGAGATTTGATCGGCAAGCAATAGGAGCTGTGAAATTTACCGCCACGCTTGGAATTTTGGAAGGTGAGCGGGTTTTCTCCCTCGTCAAAATTTGCCGCCATCATCTCCTGTCATATATAATAGTAAACCCTCTTATATATGGTTGGTTAGGTGGGCAGTAGTCTTCTTTGACATTATTCTCTACAGTCCAGTCTCAGTCGCATCAGCCATAAGGTAATCAATTGCATTTGCCTTTTGTTTTCGTTCGGTTTGGATCAGTTTGTTTTGGATGTGTTCCCCTCCTGTTGGTAGTTGATGTTTCACTGGGGTTCTCTTTGGTTGCTGGGTTCTTTTGATCGATTATGAGTTATTGGGTATTGTTGCCATTGTATGTATGTTTGGGGAAGCCTTCAAGAAGGCGCGCCTAGGCGCACGGCTAGGTTCAATTAGGAACAAAGCATAGAGGGAACAACTCACCTTTGGCATTAGCGCTGATAAAAGTGTTGATTGCACTTAATATCTAGGAATTGCGCCTAATCACTAATCAGGGAAGAAGCGAGACTAGGCGATGGAGTGTGGCCCTAGGCGTTTGTCATCTAAATCAGCTCCCCTCCCTCACAACGCAGCATTTTGTATGCTCGACGTCATCACTTGGAGAAGCTCGGCGATGGAGTGGGGTTCTCTGCTGGATGGAAAATTCAGCAGCAGGGGTTAGCCTTTCTTGTTTGATGAATCTGAAGTGCAACTATAACATAGAATATACTCTACATGTATGCATTAGTATCTTTGGATGTTAATCTACGGGTGTCGAGCGCTCGCCTTACGCCTAACGCTTTTTTGAACCTTGGTTTGGGGATATACTTTTGTGTTATTGTTACTGATTAATTATTATAATTGCTTCCTAATTTTCAGAATGTATCAAGAACTATGATAGGACCCAGAATACCCCAGAATGGCAAGAGTAAGAGTAGAAACACATGTCCTCGATTGAAGAAACAATCAGAACAAGAACCTAGGCGTCTGATAAAATGATTGGCCCAAGTCCCACGAAGCGATCCAGAATCGAAGTCGGCTCAACGCTCAAGGAGAAGCCAGCTACACAACTTTCACAATCAACACGAAATACAGTTGACATCTCTAGAAGGTATGTTGGATATTCGAAGAAGGTATCTATTCCGAGCAGGGACTTTACATCTTCACAGCCGATTTCTACCAAAGCTAATCACTTTAACGAGCGTCGAAAGTCACACAAAGGACCATCTTCGTGGAATGCGCGTGAGGAGGAAGATGAGGATTACGAAATGGAAGATGATGGTGAATACGATTCCACAGACCAAACTTGTGGTCTTCCAATTTAAAGTTTAAGTGCATGTGGTCTTCCAATTTAACGTGTAAGTTAAATTTTTTCTTTATGGGAAACTGTAAACGTATAAGTTAAAATTTGTTTCTTAGTTGGTTGACATAAAAAAATTAAACAAGGCACATTATCAAATCAAAACATCAAAGTTGCAAGGTGTATATATAGGCAATTAGATAGTTTTAAATGAATTAAAGGTAAATATCACATATTTAACTTTTTACAACATTATCGCCTTTAGTGTACCTTATAATGTATAAATAGGCAACATAAGATTGTTTGGGCTATAAATGTTTGGTATAATATGGCAATTGCGACACAATTTGGTTGATAACTTATTTATGTTATATAAAGTATCTTTTAAGTAACACCTAAAAAAATGTCGTCATTGTTAATTTTAAGCAACACCTTTAATTAGTGTTGCAAACATAGTGTTGGCAAAGGGCACTTTTCCCGTAGTGAAGAACGATATAAAGAAACTCGGATCCCAATCCGTACCCTTACCAACCTTGAAGATATAGAAATAGAACCTATGCCTCTATAATCATCAAACACTTAGTAAACCCAAAGCATAGCCCTCTACTGCTATCTTTGCGCACCAAGTTGCTCCATAGAACATAAGGAAATGCGTATAAGCCTCTCTCTCTCTCTCTCTATATATATATATATATATATATAGCAAGGGCTAGCGTACGTTAGGCGTACGCTGTACACATGCGTTCACACTTGGTTTTCGTACTTCAACATATTTCGTTGAATCAGAACCGTCGGTTATTATTTTTTAGATTAAATGAATCTTGTGGCTTGGGTTAGAGAATTAGGGATTGGGGTTCAACCATTAGAGGTTAGGGTATAGTATCATGCCCAAAATTTTGGTTAATTCGTGCTCTATATTGTAAAACTCGACGGGCGTACAATGTACGACTGACGTACGCTAGCCTGATATATAGTTCAGGCTAGCGTACGCCAAGCGTACGCTATACGCCCGTCGAGTTTTATTATTTAGAGCACGAATTAACCGGAGTTTTTGACATGATACTATACCCTAACCTCAAGTGTGAACACAAGCGTACAGCGTACGCCTGACGTACGCTAGCTTTTTCCATATATGTATGTATATGGTGGCGTCTTCGGTGCACTCACTTTTTTAGGTGCATTTAGTGCACTCGCATATAACTGTCATTTTAAACATGCGATTTATGTCAAAATGATGTCAATCATCACTTATGATGTGATGGACAATTACGCACACGACTTTGCACAAAAACCATTGAAGATTTACTTTAATTTGAAGGATTTAGAGTTTAGAGATTTAGGGTTATGGTTAGTGTTTACAATTTGGGGTTTAGGGACAGAACTCAAAATTGGAGGTCTAGGGCTTAGGGTAATCCGCTAATTAGTTGTTATCATATGTTATATCATCATATTACACTAATTCTACAAATTAAAATTCAAAATCCGACACCTTAAGACTAGTTTTTGAGTAGGGTGTATTGAACGCACTCATTTTTGTGAGAGCACCGAAGTAGTCACCTATATATAGTGGCATCTTTGGTGCACCCACTTTTTTGGGTGCATTCAGTGCACCCGCCTCATCATCGCCATTTTGAGTAGGCGATTCATGTCAAAAAGATGTCAATCATTACTTGTGATTCTATAGACATGAAAACCATGAATTTACAAAAAAAAATATCATTAAATATTTATTTTGATTTGAAGGATTTAGGATTTAGTGATTTAAGGTTAGGGTTCACATTTTGGGATTTTGGGTTGGTGTTCAAAATTGAAGGTTTAGGGGTTAAGGTAATTGATTGATTAGTTGTGATTTTGTATTATATCATCATATTATACTAATAGTATCAGTTAAAATTCAAAATTTGATGTCTATGACTAACTTTAGGGGTCGTTTGGATGGATCATTTGTTGAGGTGTGGTATTTGTGCACAAACAACTCAATTTTTCATCATGTGGTATTTCAAAGTTATTTGAGATTGAAATGTGGTATTTAAATTTGAATTGTCTTGTTTGGGTGGATGAGTTATTTGTATGTGGTATTTCGTTAAAAGAACAAAAATTACTTTATCACCCTCCTTATATTTTGTTTCAGAAACATCATTGCCCTTCTTCTACATCCCAATTTCTAGAAATTTGGCAGAGGACTCTGCTTGAGGAGGTTTATAAAAAAACCAGTTCCTTTCCTCCACCGGCTCTACCTTGTTGGGTAAAGCTTCAATTACAAAAATCAATCTCAACTCAATTCAAACGTCGGCCGAATTTAAAGCATCAATTACAGAAATCAGACTTAACTCACTTCAATTTGAGAATCCAAAAACAAGATTGGAAACTTTCTGAACTAAGAAAGACCAAAAATTAATCAACAGCCTGCTTTCCCTCATCGTCGCTCTCCATCGTACATGCAGCCTCGCCGCCGGCCTCATCACTGCTCGTACATGCATCGCTGTCGTCTGCCCTCTGCCATTGAGCCACCGACGCGCCTTCCCTCTCTCCCTCTCTCCTCCCACCTCCTCTTAAGTTCGTCAATCCCCCCATTGAAGATGTCAGAGATCGATCTCCCAGAACAACGATCGACTCTTTGTCCTCTCTGTTCGTCGCCGTCGACGCCGCCGGGTGAGTCTCTGTTCGTCGCAACTGGAGCTTCCCACTACTCAATCTGATCTGCATGGTGCAAAGAATCCGAAGGTAGCAGGAAAATCGTCCAAAACTCAATCGATTTTGTTTCAAGCTAGAAGAACAGAAGGATTCACAGTAAAAAGAAAAAGGAAGGTGAGAGGAGAGAGGCGAGGGATAAAAGTGGTTGAAAAGTGGGTTGGATGAATTATTTCAAAATAACACCCCTCCCCCCAGTTATTTGTAATAACTTGTTTTTGAGTTATTCTCAAATAACTCGACCCAAAATAACCCGAGATTTTTCCAATAATAGCACCTATTAAATTTTTTTTACAAAAATAGCAACCAGCCCACAACATTTAAAAAATAGCACCATTTTTATCAAACCGCACCTCCAAGGTGCGTTTTATAACTAAACCGCACCCTCCAGGTGCGTTTTATGTATAAACCGCACCTAGGGGGTGCGTTTTAGTCCACGTCAGACTGGAAACTCACATTGGAGGTGCGGTCTGTGTTTGGTGGGCAGCGACCTTGGAGACCGCATGATGAAGAAGCGATCCAGTAGCGGAACGCTTGCCACCTCAGCGAGGTCAAGCCTCGATCAACGCAGACCGCATCAGGAGGGCGCGGTTTCTGGCTGGGAGAAATTACCAGACTGCCCCTGGAGGGTGCGGTCTGATGGGTATAAATACCCCCTCCCCCTCTCATTTTTACACACCACAACCATTCTCCACTCTCTCTCTCTCTAGAATTATCTCTCTAACCCCTCCCCTCCCAAAAGCCTAGGAAATAGTGGTCTGTTGGTTGCGGCTAAGTCCGATCTGCCATCAGAAAACATTTCTTTGGTTTTTCCCTCAAAACCCGCCCGCCGAATTTCTGTCCGACTTTCGTGAGAAAATGGACGAGTGGTTCCAAGAAGAGGGAGTTTATTATGATGAATTTCAAGCGGTACGTACTCATTATTTTGGTTAATTTTTGTTTTTTGTTATAAGATTTTTAATTAATCTATGTACTAACCTTGTTGCTATTCTCTCGTAGGTTGGGGACGACGTGGGGTTTTAAGCGATTATCATGATTCTCCCATTTCTTGGGAAAATCGGGTATTAAGAGATCCTCGGATACCCCCTTTTTCTGTCAAAAAGGCTATATTTCTAAGAAGGTGTATACCTCTTCTAAGAGTCTAATGAGTGTTGCATTGTATTTGATTAAATTATTTAAAACAACCAATACGATTAAATTACTTACCAAACAACCAATACGATTTATGTTTATGTGTACATAAATGAATTTATTAATTTCAATGTTTGAATATGTATGTATCTCTTTAAATTATGATTCATTTAGAATGTTATTTATGTCAATTAATTTAGTATGTTTGTTTTATGATAATATGTATATATCTTGGAAAAACCGCAAATTACTTAAATTTGATTGTTAATAATATAATTATAATAAAATTATATTCAAAATTAAATCATTAATTTTAATTAATTTAGTTATAAGACTAAACTATTACTAATATATCATAAATAATTTTAATAATGGTTGAAATTAAATCATTAATTTTAATTTATTTAGTTATAAGACTAAACTGTTACTAATATATCATAAATAACGTTGAAATTTTTGCTAGGAGGCACAACAAATAATCCGCTCGTATGTTTTTATACAAATTCAAGGCATTGGATGAAAGATTGGATATCTGTAAGACTTCAAACAAAAGGGTCGAAGTTGCTACGAAGGTTGTTTTTTTGGCAGACTTCGAGCACAAGCAAGCTGCCAGAAAAACAGCCTTCGTAGCAACTTCGAGCCTTTTGTTTGAAGCCTTAAAGATATTCAATCTTTCATCCAATGCCTTGCCTTTTTATAATAAAATACGTAATTTAACGTGGTAGAGGCCCTTGGACTTGACTCGCATCCATGCTTCTCAAATTGAGCTCCAAAGTAGGCTTGACAATCACGTTGCCAGACTTAGCCATTTTCAGGCAGTTTCCCAGTTTTGGCATAGCCTTTTGGCGAGGTTCAAAAATGGTCTTCTGGACTTTCTATTGATCTCCCAAGTACTTTAATGTGTAGAGGGACACTTCATCTTCAAAACAAGCCTTTAATCTCCAATTTCCATCTAGCCAATTGTAAGATATGAATCTCCAAAGTAGGCACCATGAAACTGTTTTTACACTGAAACAACAAATTAGGTCGACCTAATCCTATATGAGGTCGACCGAAAAGTGCATGTCACCGTGACATGCATGTCACCGTAGCAAAGTCCAAAGTGAATGGATTGGCTCTCTATACATAAGTTTGAATTAAATTTGAACCGAGAGTAGTAATTCGAACCTAAAAAAAATCAATTGGTTACATTTCTTGTCAATCTCATCTTGTTTGATGAAATTAAACTTGTAAGTGGACGTTATTGGTTGGAATATCCTTGTTGCCAGAATGACCTTGAAGTTCTTGATGGTGTAGATACTCTCTAGTCATGAAACAGAGGCTGAAAATCCTTGATTTTCCCTTCGGGCATTTGGACCCAAATATCATTACCCTGAAGAAGTAAAATAAGTATATTGATAAAACTGTGAGATTTTAATCATGGAGTTTTGATTTGTGTGGTTGTAGTTAGTATACCTTTGAGTCAATAACTATACTACCGGTACGAAGAATAACATGTGTTGTGATTGATTGTCTTCCACTTCCTCGAAACTCGACATTGAATAATTCAATCTCACTTTTGAGTTGTCGGTCGGATATCAATTGAGATTTCATATTGAATAACCTTTCATTAAAACATCAGTTAAACAATCAATTTTGTTTCACCATGGATCTTAGAGTAACTCTCAAAAGACTTACTAAGCACAAAGTTAATGTATGAATTGCGTAATTAAATAAGAAAATAGAGATCACTTCTTTCTAGAATAAGAATTTCAGCATATATCATCATGGCTATTGCATTCGTAGTAAAACTTGGAAATTAGATTTAGAATGAAGATTGAAGAATTGTAGAACTTCAATGCAATTTAATTGTTCCACAACCATGAATATAAGTGAACTGAAAATAATAATTTGTACAACCAATACATATTAACATGTTAGAAGTAGTACAAAGGAAATGTGAATTGGGCAGTGACAATTAAGAAAAGAAACTAAGGGTTCGTTTGAAGAACGGGATTCAGGACGTGGATTTACTGAATCCGTAGATTTTGTAGAAAGCTATGTTTTTTTGTTGCTTTTTGTATTGTGGATTTTAGCTTTAGAGATTTCAAATCTCTAAAATCTGCAGATATCAAATCTCTCATAATCAGAGAGATTCTATATCTTGATTCGTGAAAAAAAAATTCTCCTAGTTTTTCTCTTCCTTTTATTTATTTATCATATGAAATATATTTATCGAATAAAATTTTTAATATTTCTTGAACCACTCTAATTTTTTTATTAAGGATAAATATGTTATTTAATATAACATTAATTTTTTTTATTGAATATTAACAATCACAGTTTCCAAACACTAAACATTTTAAAATCTGTCTTCAACAATCCGAAGAGTTAGAATCTTTAGATTACTGACAATCGGTAGATTTAAACTCATATTCTCCAAACGACCCCTAAGTTTAGCGAAACATCAACAAAATTTTAATAGGGATATGCGGGTGAGTGTAAGAGATCAGCAACAATGTCAGTAATAATGGAAGAGAGAATACTTGCGATCATTCTTAAGATAATAAATATCAAATATAAATAATATTTTTATAGACAAACTGTTCACGAATTTAAATATTAGCCAAACCTTTGAGAATATGAAATAATTCCCAATCCTTAAGTCTCCGTTAATACTTTCGTTAGATAATGATGAGCTGGCAGATTTTAGGTGAGATGGAAGGAATATGGTGACATGACACTCAAAAAGAATATTTTTTTTATTTTTAATTTATAATTTATAATTTTAACCAAGCCTTACACGGATTCTAAAATATTAGAGAAAGCGGAATGAGAATACGAAATATTAGACAAACCTTTCACGGATTCTTCCTTTGTCGTTGTTCCTTCGTTCTTCCTGAGGTCTACTCTGACGCAGAGGCCCATTTCCCGTCACCAATGGCTGCTTCTCTCTTTACTCAATAGTAACGAAAGCCGAATAGTCTCTGCTGAGAAGATAGGAGGCAATGACTGTTGATGCAAATGGTGGTTAGGTTTGGCTAATATTTCGTATTCTCAAAGTTTTGGCTAATATTTTATAATCTGTGAAAGGTTTGGCTAAAAAATAATATTTGCCCTTATAAATTTTTTTTATAATATTTTTTAATTCACATGACGTTGATGTGTCAAACACTTGAAATGACGATTAGTTTACGTGTATTCTGTTAAGGCTAACGTTAACAGGGAATGGCTATAATTGTATAGCATTATAAAAGGTTCGACCAATATTTTGTATTTTCTAAGATTTACTTACCCAATAATCAATATATATGCAACATTGTATTTTTCTAAGATTTACTTACCCAATGATCAATATATATGGAATATTACTTCTATTGGAGAAGGCAATTATGGAACCGAGTATACTTACAATTATAATGATTCCATGTCAAAATAAATGCCTCCAAATCCAATTGTCTAAGATAAGAATGAGTTTTTACTTTTTAGGGGGTAAAAAATTGTAATAATTAGATAAGAACTTGGGAAGGGCTGAACGTGGTAGGTGGGGTTTGAGTTCAAGTCCTTAACACTGTGTTCATTTGGAAAGGAAAAGGAGGGGAGTGTAGGAAAAGGAGGGAAATCAGCAATTCCCATACACTTTTTCATGTTTTCTAAATTCAGAATAGTGATGAGGGGAAGGAAGGGGGAGGGGGTGAAAGGGTTACTGTTCCACCCACCCCCCATTTTGGAGAGAAAACGTAACCTGCTTATTAATTCCCTTTTCTTATTATTATTTGCCCTCTCTCCTCTCTTTTCTCCACTATCTTCTTCCTTCTCCACTAGCATATAGAATACGAACCAGTGGAAGAACAAAAAACAGAGGCCTTTTCTTCTTCTTTTTATCCCTAAAGTTGGTCCGCCATCTGTCTCCCATTGCACAAATAATGACAAGAAAGCTATATTTCCATCATCCCCCATAATCTATCCTACATTCATTCCATTCATCGAAAATCTGCTGTCTCCCCATAGATCGACGCAGCTTCCTCTTTTTTTATTTTTTTTCCTTGTGCAAGCAGCTTCCTCTTCTTCGTTCTTCCTTCTGAATTGGTCTCTTTTCTCCAGTTTCTGTGGGTAATCTCGATCTGTAATATTTTTTTCTTTGTTGATTTTTTCTGAATCAAAACTTCTTTTCTTTTCCTTTTTCCCCAAATCAGAGAACTAGGGTTCACTAGGGATTATGATCCTGTGAGCAATGAGTTCCAAAGATCGATATATTCCCTCCATGGAAAACCCCACTATTTCCTTCCATCCCTAATATCCATCTATCCATCACCAACAAAGTCCAGCATCTAACTAAAAACATATCACATCGGTTGCTGCTGAACTTTTGTTCTTCTTTTCCAAACCAGAGCCCTCCCACAGCCTGCTTCGTTCTTATTTGGCCAGCGAAAAATAGAGCATTCTCCAATGTCCATGGTAAGAAACTCTACCCCATCAAACATCGTCTTTCCTTTCCCCCCCCCCCCCCCCCCAAATCAGAAAAGCTAGGGTATATAAAATTACTTTTATTTTGTATGTTACAGGTGGTTGTTGTTGCTTTAGAGGCCTCTATTTTTTTCCTCTCTTGGTCGTTCTGGTCTTCTAGGATTGCATCAGGCTGTATTGAGGTTTGGGGACAATAGTGTCCGTTGTTGACGCCGCTAGGTATGTTGCTCTACTGATTGCATTGTTGCATTATACCGGTTGCAACATGGCTGCTGCTTTTGATTTTTCTCACTTTATGATATGAACCGAACTGTTTAGTTGTTTTCATTGTCTCCCCCTTTATGTAACTCTAGTTATCCTTTGTTGAATCTGTTCTCTTTGTTAGTACAAGATGGTTTTGATTATTTGATCTCTGGTTGTTGTGACTGTGCTTTTACAGGTTGCTTTTTTCTTTTGTTTAAGACGTTTCATGGTGATCATTTGTTAGGACTAGAACCTGACTTTGAAAAGAGAACATCATGATTTAGCCATTAAAGTCCTTCATCTGTCGGTAAATGTAGAAATGATAATAATGTGTGTTGAATAAATTTTATAGCATTAACGTAGCAATTTAATTATCATTTATATCTTGATTAGAAATGATAATAATGTGTGTTGAATAAATTTTATAGCATTAACGTAGCAATTTAATTATCATTTATATCTAGATTTTTTCCGTACTTCAAGGTAATGATTCATTACTTGCATTATGTACATATTACCATATCTTAAAGTGTCTTTCAAAATCATGTATACTTAGATGTATGCATACATATCTCCTCAGGATTGCATTGGGGCTATTGATGGTACACACTTTCGAGTGAAAGTAAATCGCGCCAGTCAAACTCGTTTTAGAGGTCGGAAAGAATGGCCTACTCAAAATGTTTTAGCTTCATGCAACTTTGACTTGCAATTCCTATAAGTTTTAGCTGGGTGGGAAGGGACATCATCTGATTCAAGGATTTTAAAAGATGCATTGGCTAGACCACATGGGCTTGTAATACCAGAAGGTATGTCATGCAGCATAATCATCCTTGTATGTGTTTCACCATTACTTGCATCATTCATCTTTTCATTAATGTTTTTAATAACCTATAGGGAAATTCTATCTCGGAGATGGTGGCCAAAAGGGAAGCAGACAATTGTGGGGGAGACATCCACTAAGGAGAATCTACAATGGACAGAGGAGATGAACAATGCTTTGCTAGAAAGTCTACTAGCCGAGCAACGTAAGGGGAACATGCACGATGGCATGTTCACAACTCATGCTTGTAAAAATGTCGGTATTGCTTTGCGTGGGCTGTTTTCGCATAATTTCGACAAGGAGAAAATAAAAAATAGGCAGAAGACATCGAAAAATCACTTTGCAACTGTGAAAGACTTATTCCATAACATGAGTGGCTTTGCATGGAATCCGGTAACCAAACTTTTTGAAGCTGAACCAAAAGTATGGAAGCAACTAATTCAGGTATATGATCTATTTTTTGCCATTTTGCCTTGACTTTCCAATCACATACATCTTATTATAAAATTCATTGTTGTAATGTAGGAAAAGCCGATTGCTAGCAGATGGATTAGGACACCCATTAACAACTATGACAAACTCTTTAAGTTGTATGGGGAATTTTGAGCAACCGGAGAAGGAGTTGCAAATGCATTTGAGACGATCGAACGTTGGGATATGAGGTCTCCTGCATTCGACATTGATTTGAATAACATGTCAGGAGAGGATGAAGGTATGAATGCCTATATTCCTTCACCTTTTACACCTCGTGAAGGCACAAATGCATATAGCTCCAATGGTAGATCTTCATTTACTCTTGATCCTCCACCATCAGTCGACTCTCATGGTACTACCTCTTCAAAGGGAACCAAAAGAAAAGCTCCCATGAGAGATGTATCTGCCAATCAATTTGAGGTCATGGCTGTCAACATGAGTAGGATGGCATCAGGTATAGAGAAAGGTGATGTGATTGTTGAACGATCTGCCAAGGCTATGGAGAAAGGAAATGAGATTAAAGAGAGGTCTTTGGTGATTCTCGACCATCATAAGACTCACATCTACAAAGAGGGAGAAATTTTCCAAGAATTGCAACGCTATGATATTCTTGGAGAAATGAGGTTGAATGACTATAAGTATCTAGCAAAAAATCCAGATACCACAAGGGCTTTATTTGGCTTGCCAGAAGAGTATCGACAACAATTCATTGTTGATTTGGCAAAAAAACAAACCTTCTGGCAAGTTGACTTTTGATGTGGTCTAGCAGCATGTTACCTAGTACTAACAGGTCGCCATCTTTAGGACGGACTTATGTAAGTATAGTATTATCAGGTGACCTTTTTTGGACGGATTGTACTATGTATCTCTAGTATTAGCATATGCATTTGGACGGATTTATGCACTTCTAGTATTAGCATGTTACTTAGTACTAACAGGTTGCCTTCTTTTGGACGAGCTTATATAAGTCTAATATTATTATGTGACCTTCTTTTGGTCGTATTGTATTATGTATGTCTAGTATTAGCGGATACTTTTATTTTGGATGAATGTATGTACTTATAGTATTAGCATGTGACCTTATGTTTGGAAAATTACTATTATCCTGTTGCTTTTTGGACAATTTATGTAGCTGTAATTTGTTGTATGTTTATATATTTAGTTGCTATGTTGATTACTCAATAAAATAGTTAACAAAATTTTAGTAATAGGTTGACAAATTTCATTCAAATAACCAACTTTTGATTTGTTGTAGTTAATAAAATTAGCAAAGAAGAACAAATTTGATCCACATTACATCATTTTAATTTTCAATTTTAATTTTAAAAAGTAAAAAAGTATAAAGTTCGAATTTATTAAATATTAAATAATAATATTTAATTAAATTAATTTCGAATTTCCTTTTCATTGTAGTGGAGAGAGAGGGTTATGGAGAAGATCAAGGGAGAGAGAGAAAGAGAATCATTAATAATATTAATTATATTTTTATAATATCTTATTTATTCAAACTAAATATTAACTACTAGCCATAATTAACTATCTAATCTAGTATCAGCCAATAAAAATAGTTTAAGAACCTCCTTAAGCAATGAGGCTTAAGGACTGGATCCAACCCGCAGTTTACTATGACATTTATTTCATTACCTCTTAAAGCCAGCCATATTAATATAAATCTAACATGTACTGAGTTGTGGCTCGTAAATTATTTAGATCTCGTTTAGAACCTCCGATTCTGAACATAGTATTATGAGTATACATGTATTCTGTAGAATACAACATTTTTAGACTTGTTTTCAAGTATAATCCATGCATTCTTCTATGATTTCTTAACAAAACATTATTAACACCCGCGCATTCTTAGTATACATCAAATTTTAATTACACCATTTCGGAAATCAAAGTTTCCGAACGACCTTTTAGCATAATTAAGAATCAGTAATACATCGTCCAACCCTATATATAGAGTAGTACGTCGAAGCAGCTACACTGGGGAAACTTTCAAGACAACTTAGAGCATCTGTAGTCAAATTAACAACTTCATCAAATACTAAATCTACTTAATCCTTTTAACTTTTTCCTTCTCTTGGTTTCTTTTTCAGGCGTAGAACTTATAACCGGAGGAATCCTTGATAATGTTGCGAAACCCGCCAATTGTAGACGCCAGCATAACGAACACTCCAATTACAATCGAAGCCTGCATTTAAATTAACAAAATTAATTCACAATAATATATGACATGAAAAACTAGACATTCACTTTTTGGTTGTGTAATTTCTTACCCAATTGACAAACCATTTGGGGCTGAACCTTGTAGGCTTCTTGAGGATCAACCACATTATGCTTGGGAGCTGCAACATTAATAAATGATGACAATGTTAATCTCCAAATGAAAAATATGAGTTTGTTTCATAAATGATAGGAAAAAAAATTATTAATAAGGCTTACAAAGAATGAAGTTGGAGCAAATCCAAATCCACCGAAGAAGCCAAGTAGGTCGCCGAAGAACGGGAAAGTAACTCCAACAAATAGTGTAAACGCTGTCCATGATAATTCAGTAAATTATAGTTAATTCCCCACGTTAGTTTATTTAATTTCATTACCTCAAATTCAGTTTGGTACACTTAATTAATTATATGTTGGGACGAGTACTGACCAACATATGTTGATCGGGCTACAAGTCTAAGAGGCAACCCTTGGGTGAAGTTCAATTTTTTCACAAGCATCCTCTCTAGCATATCAAATACCGGCATCGCGTATACCTAAAAAAAACATTTGTCGACATTGTTAATATTTACCACAACCAAATAATAACACCAATTTACAAATCCACTGAACAAAAACACTTTAAATAAGATGGATATCTCAAATTAAATAAAAGGAATTAAGCGTCCTTAATTACCTGGTAGCTGCCGATGACGTGAACGACAACCATAAGGTTGGCGGTGGCAATGAGCCAGGCGGGCCTCTGAAGGTCGATCAACACATTGTCCTGCACATCTTGCCCAAAGGCCCAATAGCCAATCATCGCCACTGGGAAGTAGCATATTGCGTTCACGAAGTAGGCACCCATCACGCCCTTCCACATGGGCACTTTCGAGGGCCTTTCTGGTGTCGAAGGGATGGTGGCCTGGATCTCCAGGGCCACCGCGTGGCCCGCAAATGCGAACGAGATCTGGCCCAAAGCGTTGAACACTCTGAACATCGAGTCCGCTGGGCTGGTCTGCTTGTAGTCGTACGTCACGTCCGGTGCCCTCCCGTGGCTCAGGCACCCCACCCACGCTATGGTTGAGTAGCTGCAAATTGCCAAAATAAAAATCCATGTATCAGCAATCAAGTTTCGACACGTTGCGCAATCGGGGAGAATTAGTTAGTTAGTTAGGTTAGGAAAAGTCCTCTAAGGCTGGCAAATCGGTTACTAGTAATCGGATAACCAACGGTTATAACCGATAACCACCGGTTATTACTGATAATTGATAACCGATTTGTTGATGAGCTCGGTCGGTTGGCGGAGGCGAAGTGAGCGAGCAGCTTCGGTTAGTCGAGTAACCGACGGAGACTAAACCGTGGTTAACCGGCTAATCGAAACTAATCGTGTGTGCTCTTCGGATCTCCCAAAGCGACAGCGTTTGAGACATTAATTTGGTGATTTAGATGTAATTTGGATGCAAAAAGGATTGAGACTTTGCTTTTACTGATTTAGATGTAGAAATGTAGGTTTGAGACTTTTATTTTAGGTGATTTTACCAGTTGTGTTTATGCAGGTGAGGCTGTTGTCGGGTCTGTTAACGGTTAAAACCGACCCGGTCATCAAAATTTCGGTTGCACGACTAACCGAGCCAAAAACCAAAAACCATCTCAATCCATTGGCCGGTTAACCGAGCTTCTTTTTCGTCTGGGTATCGATGGGAATTTTGGTCGTGCTCGGCTAACCGATAATCGAGTTTTCGGTTTTCAGTTAAACCGAAACCGATCGTAATCCACCCTGCCTAAAGTCTTCTGTTCGAATTGGACAACACCGAATTTCATGGATAACAGGAATTTCTCTACCTGGCAGTATGAAAGAACAACATACGTACCAGAGAGACATGACTGCAGCAGCCAGAGAGACACCAGCGACAGAGTTGAAGTTCGGCAGCTGAGACAAGAAGAAGTGAATCCCTCCAAACATGACGATCCAATACGACTGCTTGATCGGAGTACAACTGGCACAAGCAATCTCCATGAACTTCTTCAAACACTTGCCGCCGGTCACCATGTACACGATGTCACACCCAACCTGAACAATCAGCTGCTGAGGCAGAACGATCCACGGCCCGAGCTTCTCACCGAAGGCGTGCCTTCCGAGGTCTATATACCGATCGAATCGAGTCCCCGGGACGCACTCGTGGAGCTGGATCATTTGCCACATCGTGTTCAACGTCAGACACCATGACAGCACTAGCACCATCGTCCCTGGTCCCCTGTCACACACACACACATCAATTGGTCCCTCAAAAAAGAAAAATGTTACTAATGTGCAAAATTCCGTCACTAAAAAGTGAATGATCCAGTGTGATGTGTATAGTGTACCAGCCCAAGAATGCCATGGCGGAGGGGAGGCTGAGCACGCCTGCACCGATCATGGCGGTGACGGCGTGGAAGGTTGAGTACCACCATTTGGCTCGCCGGCCATCGGGATCCCCTGCTCCTCCGGTGCCCTGTTTCCATTTCTCCGGCTGATTCTCCTGCTGCTGATTGTGTTGCATTGGAGAATCTGAAGTGACCATGTTTGTGGGTTGATGAGAGCAGCAGAGCAGTAGCCAGAGGCCAAAGGTAGTCTTTTCTAGCTAGCTCTCACTTTGCCCCTGTGGAGTTTGAATGAGGAGGTGGTTGAGTGATCACTTTCACAACCCAAACTCAAAGTGTTTATAATGTGTGTAGTGGAGTGTGTGGAGAGCAATGGAGTGAAAAGATAAGGAAGTGATGTTATTTTACTCTACTTTTGTTCTTTTGTATTTTCTTGCGCGAATTTGGTTGATATCTTTTTGGGATCAGCATAACAATATTCTTGTGTTACTGGATATGTCGTTTGATTGTGAGACTCGTGATTCAACGGCGCGTGAGAACATCTTTTTACGCTAACCTACATATAAATACGGTAGGTGAATTCATATTGAGTTGGTTGGAGGAGGATGAAAAATTTATGGAGGTTTTTACTATATGGAAATAAGTTTCCATTGGAGAGTTTGAGTGAGTGGGATGGTGTGTAACTATTAAAAGTGGGAGGGGACACCTTGTTTGTAAGTGAAAGTGATCGTTCACTTGTTGGTGTCCTATGAAAAGGAAGTTCCGTGGGGAATTCAAAAGAGATGGGAGGGATGAGAGTGGTCTTTTTTGAGTATCTGAGAAAGTGATGGACAAGAGAGCACATCACCACCAACAACACCACCAAGCCAACAATTAGCGGCGGATCCAGAAATTTTATATAAAGGTGTCCTCCCCTAAAAATTAAGTTAAATTAATAATTAAATAAGAAAATATCTTACTTGTTCAAAGTACAACAAAGCACATGACGTGTTTCGTACTTTGAAAAAAATTGTAAAATACAATCGGTGTCTAACAATGTTCTATAAATCTCTCTCGATATATCCTACTAGAATAGGGGAGCCCATAATAGGGTTTAATTGTTAGCTTTTGAAAATAATTTGGATAAAAAAATAGTTTTTTTACTATTATATTTGGATTTGAAATACAAGAACAAATGAGTTATAGTCTAATGAAAAATATGTTTACTAATAGTAGCATCGACCCAAGTTCAAATCACATAGGCAATCACTTAAATGTTTATATTTACCCATACACAAACTACTGTTGGGGAATTATAATCATTTTTCCAAATTTTAGGAGTGTCCCGCTGCCACTTAAATATTTTGTTTACATATATGCAAACTACTATCGGAGGTTGAATGATAAACTAGTAATGTGGGGTTTTGATATCCAAGGTTTAATTTCTAAAACAAGATATAGAGGTGGGTTAGTGTTAGTATTAGTATTAGTATTAGTATTAGTATTTGGAAACGTGAAAATTGTTGTTTTTGATAAATACTTGCATTATAAGTTGATGTATTGTTTAATACCATGTATTTCAGAACTACCGAATGTTCATAGTTGCGGGAAAGTTAGTTTTTGAATGAAAAGTTGTGTTTACCTTTTCTTTTACAACAGATTAAAAGCCAAGTACTCATAAAATTTTATTACGGAAACAAAAATGAGTTCACTGTGCACAAAACATAACTAACCAATAATCATTCATTTTAAATGATTTAAAATGTCACATCAATAATCCAATGCATGCATTTTGTTTCATTTCGAAACAAATAATGGTACATTATATACAATACTTTCATTTATTAAATGCATTAGTTAGAAACGCATATACAAACTACCCCATATACCTTTATAGTGTGCTCCATAGATAGTTCAATTTTTGTTTTTGTCTTTGTTTTGAACAACCTCGGTGTCGTTGAGAAACAAAGAAGATGTTATGATAGTGATAGGATGATATATTTCTTTCTCTTAAACTCAAAAATTTTAAAATTTGCACTAAAAAAGCAGGTAAACGGTACCAAATAAAAAGGCAAACTTTGGATGATTTAACATCATTAACCGAAGTGATTGCTTTACAAGTGAGTGGTACTAAAGTGGAGATAAAAGAAAGAAGGAAAGGAGAAGGAATTTGGTTAGCCCTATAGATTAGGTTCACTTATACTAAATTAAGGAACAACTTAGGGTAAATGTTACGAGTACTCTTTTTTCTTTTTGTCTTTTTTTTTCCCCTTATTAAAAAGGTTGCATTTGTTGTTCTAGATTATTCATTTTAATAGATTGTTTATTATATATGGATGATGAGGAACAAAAGATGTCCCATTTTCCTACCTTTTTTCTAGTGGTAATAATTAACTATAAATTGCCAAATTAATTAACAATATTCTAGTTTAGTTTATTATACCCAAAAGAGGAAAGGAAGATAGATATACAAAAAAAATCAATCAAGACTTTTTTTTTTTTTTTTGACAACTCAACCAAGACTTTAAGTAATTCATATGTATTAGGTTAAAAAAAAAAAATTAGGTTGTCAGCCATTTGGTAGAGAAAAAAAATTAGGGTCCTCTGATATATACCAGAAAATATAGGAAATTGCACCTATATTTAATAAAAAAATTTAGGACTCGAATGATTTTGTGGGAAAATGTGGTTTTGGTATTTTTGCAAATATTTTTTTTGTCAATATCTATCTATTGAAGTTAGCAATGTTTTTACAGTTAACGATTGATTGTACACCACATATAGGCGCTTTGTAAAGTCAATTTGACCATATTAATTAAATCGGTTTAATTTGCATCGTAAAAAATGAACTCATAAGATGGTCCATCATGAATGCTCTCCTCATCGAGACCTCCTAAACATGATACATCTTAAAGTGAAAGAAGGTGCAACGAGGTTGTATCCCCAGTTCGGATTTCCAAGGCACACACAAGACACACATGGAAGCCAACCGTCAAGACACCTCCAACGCCAAAGTTTTTTCCTCCCCGTAGTAACAATTATGGTCGAGTAACTCAACTATATCTTACTTTGATTTCTACGATTGTGAATTGAATTGTCTGTAGAGTCGCGTAAAAAAAGCTTCTTCACGGATTAATTTAGTGTAGAGTTAGCTAGTTTGAAGTGTCAACTAGCTGAAATAAACTTTACCAGCAAAGGCAGTAGGAATCAAAACAAAGCTAATATCTTTTCTGGGAAAGTTTGGTATGGTGTCCCCCTCCTCCCCTCCGCCATTGCTTTAAGATGCCTTTCGCCAAAGACTCTGCAATTTTCTACAATTCCTCCCAATTCTACTAAGACACATCTTAGCTCAGTTTGAAGTCTGAACCAAGCAAGATTGCATATCTATCATTAAAGTGTTGAGCTTAATTTTGGTGCTCTACCTTAGAAATTTTTAATTATAGCACAATGGTCGTGGTGGCATGAGAATATATGAAACAGAAATCCAAGTTTTTGTTGTTATGATAATTGTTTTTTAATAGATAGATTTGAAATCATTGGAACGTAGAAGGTGCACAATAAGTTCATTCGATTAGATGAAATGTGCCTACTAAGATGATGGGTAAACCCAGATAAAGTAGTGTGTGGTCAAGTTATCATAGTAATTAGAACTTCGTTTTTATGGTACAAACTGTGTAGTCTATGTTAGGAAAAATGATAAATATTTTAAATTCAGAAATAGGGTTCACAAGTAAAATAGAAACTAGTGTAGTATATTTTCAGTTTCTAATTTATGTTTTCATCTGCTCTTGTGGTAACAAGAGTTGCCAATACATCAGAAATTAGCTGAAATCAGTGAAACCCATTTAAGTAGCTTTTTTGTTGTTTCCGTAATATGGTTCTTGTGGAATTCTATCAGTCGTTGGAATAATTTCATTCAATGAAGTCTATAACCAAATCTCAATAGACCCACTTTTTACATATTTTCCCCTTTCATTCTACGCAAAACTCATCTCGAAACCTTATTACCAATAACTTTTCGTATTTTTTTTTTCTCCGTCAATTTTATCATAACTTGTCATTCCACACTATTTCTCTCCATATTTTCATATTTTTATCTTAGTCTCAAACAAGACCCAAAGAAGTTACTATGGGTTATATTGTCATCCTATCCTCGAGTGTTAGGGACTCCATGCTAGTTTCCCCTCTCTCCGATTGTAGTAGAAAGTAGTAGAATATTAACTATTTATGTAAAAAAAATACGTTTCCTTTAGTACGATACCCACTAATCATATCACCAATTCCAGAAGGAGAATAGTTGCCTTACTAATGGGGAGAGTTGGAGGGTCTCAAGTGTAATGATTAGAAAGCAAGACGGCTGCTTTGTTAATCTGGAAATAAGTTGGTGGAGATGTCATATTCTTCTCCAGCCAAGTAATCATACCCAATCACGGTTCATATTTAGAGCAAAGGCATTTCTTAAAGCCACCTCACAATCCTAAAGCACCCATTGGGAAAGTGGCTCACTTAAATCGCCCAACTTTAAGACCAAGAAGCCAATGATATTGATATGCTTAGTTGGTAGAACTTGTAAGAAATGACTCAGCTTGACAAGGGAATCAGGATGACGTCATTTCTGAAATCACAGTGACCACTAGGACTGCAATCTGCATTCTGGCTGGGAGATGAACCAGTGGCTGGCAAGCTTTAATTACTACATGTTCCTTCAACAAACTCCTTCAGGCAGATTTATCATTCCAAGAAAGTGTGTCAGAGGGATGTTATATGACTACATGTTTGCTCACAACATCCTTGCAAGCATAAGAAGATGAAATTCAGACTGATTACATGAAACCTGATTCATGATGCCATTACCTAAACTAACTCAGGAAGCCAGTTCCAGGAATGTTTTGTGGACCTTGAGAAGTCAATTGGGCTTGAGAGACTAACTGGGACCTCCCGCCCGGACCTTGAACATAGCCTTGACCAATACCACTCCCGACCATCTGTTGTTGTTGTTGTTGTTGTTGTTGTTGTTGATGTTGCTGCTGCTGCTGCTGCTGCTGTTGCTGCTGTTGTTGTTGCTGAAGTTGTGAAAGCTGTTGCTGTTGCTGCTGCTGCTGCTGTTGTTGCTGCATTTGCTGCTGCTGTTGCATCTGCGGGTTTTGCTGCTGCTGTTGTTGGAGCTGGGAGAACTGTTGCTGCTGATGTTGTTGGAGCTGGGAGAGCTGTTGTTGCTGCTGCTGGGGTTGCAGTTGGGAGAGCTGCTGCTGCTGCTGAAGCTGTTGAAGCTGATGCTGTTGTTGCATCTGCTGCTGCTGTTGTAGCTGTGCATGTTGTTGCTGTGATTGCATTTGCTGCTGCTGGAGGTGCTGTTGTTGTTGTTGCTGCTGATTCGGTATCTGGGGCTTAAACACGACCATGTCCTGGTTGCAAAATATACTGATATTTGTGAGTTAAAAAAAATGAAGGCTCAAGAACCATGTAATTCAGAATGAACGAGTGCGACAAGTGCTATTAAGGACACTAAGTACAAAATGCATCAGAAATTCCGTTACCAGATGAACGAAATAAACTCTTACCCCAGGAAAAAGCATTCCAATCAAGCGGCAGGCTTTATCAGAGACAGAAAGTAACAATGTCTGAGATGGCAGTTGTATGACTGCACACTGGAAAGAATATGGTAGAAGATCAAAAAAGCAACATCAGGTAGGTAGCCCATTAATTAAGACTCAGACTTGCATCCATACAGGAAAAGCCTAGCAAAGCCAGAACAGACTCAGCAGAACTTGGTTGAAATTCTGATTGCAGAGAAGACCGATGCTTAGTTTTAACCCACAGCAAATGGATTGTGATTGATCTAACAGGAGTTAACCTTAAATATCTGCCCCTCTTAATGAATCAGTTCAATACGATGTATTCAAAATTTCCATTGATCTTTATCAACAAAAAGAATATCCATTGAATGTTCAGACCCGCATTGAAGTTTGAGTTATTAACATCAGTTAGAGGCCACAGATTTTCTAGGGCAAGTTTATCTTATAGAGAATATACAAAATAGCAACTCACAAGCTTCTTCTCTTGCAGTTGTCCAAGAAAGCCATGCTGATTCACTGCCCGAAATACTAGAAAATCAGCCTTCCCCACATATTGTCTGGAAAGCAACAACCACTAGGTATGATTAGAAACATAGACTGATAGACATATACTTACTTACCCAGGACGAAGAAACAGAAGGCCTCTAGTTAAATATGTAAGACAGTAGCAGAAATGAACATTAGTTTGGTAAAGGACGTACTTGTTATTCATATGATCCTGAGATATCAGCCGAACAATTTGCATAGTTGATGGCCAGTTTGCTGCAAGCCTGAAAATTTGCAACAAAAGAGAATCAACAACTTGTGTTCTCCCTATTTCAGGTAGATATGGTACAAAGAACTAAGGAACTTAATTTGGTATCTGACAATCAGAAAGAATATGATCCCATGATAAATAATATCAGAGTTTACATGTCTACTCAAACTTTAGCCTCCATATCCCAGTATGGATCCTTAATCTTACTGTTTCCTAAAGGAGTGACAATGAGGAAAGAGCTCTAGGGCATCAGCTTAAGCTCTAATTTAAAAGTCAAACAATAATGACTACAGCCATGTCATGTAGACCTCCAATATATCCTACATATTGGCAGAAACGCTCACCCAATCAAAGTTATCTGGCAGAAACCCACTATTGAGTCCCTCAATTCAAGACATGTAACATATTGATGTTTCCAGTTGACATCAGACTCAAGTACTTTTTAATATGGAATTCAAAAGCAACTCTAAAAAAGAATAACTATCAGGATGGTTTTCTTTTTATAGAAATAAGGAAGAAGGAAGTTTCTGAACTTACGTCTCAGAAGATGAAGAACTCCTATAACCCTGTAGCAGGCCAAAAAAGATTACCGCACAATACAAAAGGTTGAAATGGCAGCTTACTAAAAAAACAAATTAGAAGAAACATAGGTTTGTGGAAATCTTTAAAAATACCTCCAATTTCGTGATGAAGACAGGTTGCCCCTGCCGCTGCCCAGACAGATTCCCCTGTACAGCATTGACAAGGACTCAGTTGTGCATAGATACTATGCAATAACCAAAAGTAAACTGCTAATTGGGTGTCCAGGAATTTTCAGAAGTTTCAACAACATGGCGAAGGAAAGTCAAGTAGCCGGCCGACGAAGTTATAGACTAAGCACAATAATATGTCTTAACAGAGCCAGACAAAAACAAGCCAAACAGATTTCAGGGTCGACTGGTTAATCAAGTTTCCATGTTACTCAGGTTCCCTAAAGTCTACCCCAGTATTAATGACAGCTTTCCATAAAGGCGCATAAAGAACAGTAACGAGAATCACAAAGACACGGGGAAAACTGCAAAGATGATACAAATAGTTTGAACAATATTTGCTCAACATTTTAAAATTCATCTCATCTATAACTCATTAAATATCCATGCTCACCTCCCATACTCTAACATATTTGTTTGGTGCTTGTTGCATCGTATTTGCTGTCTGTTGAGACAATGACATATTAGCCGCTGCATTGTTGGCCACACCAAGTGGCGGCATTCCGGATTGCACTTGCTGTGACATTCCTGGAGTAGGAATCATTGCGCCATTCACAGAAGAGACTCCTGATGGACCAAGACCATTCATCATGTTTGGGTTCATACTACTTCCATTTTGTACCATTTGGCTCCCTGAAAGATTTCCTTGGCTCATTCCTGGTACTGATTGTCCTATACTGCCACCTCCTTGATGATTGCTCATTGGCTGTGAGACTCCCAGGTTTGAGTTCCCTGTCACATTAGTAGCTCCAGAAGTAAATGTTCCCATACTAGAGCTCTGGGGAACTTGTGAAGCTGCTGTAAGAGTCCCTGATCCAGCTATTGAAGTCATTGGATTTTGCGCAGATGAGAAAACAGTTTGAGCAGGTACAGAAGATGCCATTCCACTTGATATCATATTTGACATATGCATGGCAACAGGTGTTTGATTCATTGATGGAAGACCTATAGATGTCCCACCAGTTAAAGCTGCAGAGTTCATCACTTGTCGAGCTTGAGAAAGATTATTCAGTATGCTGACATTTGCTGCTGCAGGGGCCACTGGACGAACAGATTGTGCCATCCCACTAACAGAAGGTTTTAAGTCCTGAACTGTCTCAGTGTTTGAGATAATTTCTTGAGTAGTGGATATTGGTGAGGAAGTTTGCAAACTTGGAAGTTGAGAAGCTGGACGTGCAACTGAGGGAAGATGTGGAAAGCCAGGTCCAGTTGGTAATGATGTCACAGTACTTGGTTCCTAGGCAGAAAAAGAGAAGAATTTATTATTTAGAGAGCACTGACAATACTGTGAAACAGTTCAATAAAGAGCCAGACAATAAACACTTACAACTTTAACAGTTGCCATGGGAACACTCCCAGTAGAAACTGGAGGCCGGTTCATCATAGAGCCGTTCGCTGAAACAAAAATCAAAGTCAGTCTTCCTACGTGAATTGTCAATGCACAAGCTAGCAGTATAGCAAGCAAAAAAATTCACAGAAGCAACGCGAGGACCTCGTGTGCCATGAAAAATATATACCCCAACCCTCTTACTAACTGTTTTTATAGTTAAGTACTACTATAGGCCCACATGATGGCTTTACTAACATTCTCCTATCAGGTATAATTTAAGGTTGCGGAGATGCCAGTATGATAATGGGGATGTATGTCACGACTTCGAAAAGATAGGGCATGAGAAGAGGGATAAACTGTAGTAGCAACTAATTCAAGACTCCAAGAGGGAAGAACGAACAGCTTGGGTAAGCTGTAGTTACAGAAAGCAAAATATAAACATTTTGTACCTTCTAACCACAATGATAAAAAGTAGTGAACGATGAGGTCTCAGAGAGAGGGCGTAGTCAATAAATATCACACCACAAGTGAAAGCAATTAACCTGATGGAACTTGAGCTGGAGAAGGTCCCGCAACTGCACTAACTGAAGAAACATCCATTTTGACAGGACTCTGGTTAGAAGGTATATTCGCGACTCCAGGCCCATTTACAGAAGCACGAGCCTCCATGAAATTTTCAGAGATTAGGAGAAGAAAATGAGGATTCTTGGCAGTGTCAAAAGGTGTGTTGGTAGCACAAGTGCTGCGCTTTCCCTACATTAGCAAAGTATAGTAATCAGTAGGACACCCAACTAACAATCACTGGAGAAACAGTAAGCAATCTCACGTGTGTGTTTAACATATATGACAGGAGCACATAATTCAACAAAAGGATGATCTTTCAGTCCTTTCCGCTTACCCTTCATTTGACTAATTCCTGATCTACTATCATCTCTAATCTTATATCAAAACATAATAATACAACCGTAGTTTGAAAACATTCTTTTGTAGTATTTACCGGAAAAGAAACGTTCTTTTATAGTCATTAGCAGCGCCAAACAAAGCATGGAAGTGTAAGAAAAAGCCAGACGACAGCAGAAAAAATATGTAACAAAATTTTCTGCTGTGAAGACTGAAGACAACAGAAGAACCTAGGTACAGATGGTTTTCATCCTTACAGCATTGTAGATTGCTCTGAGTTTTGGAAGCTGCTTTGGACAAATTACAGACAGAGAAACAGAACACTGCAATACAAAGGATGTCTCAGTTACAAGGCGAGAAAAAAATCTCAAGAGATGGAGATTGCAACATAGCCATTAAGAAAGAAATGTCCTAACAGCACACCTGCGAGAATAATTTGGCAACTGCTTCTGCATCGGATAGCTGACCCTCTGCCTGCACATCGATGGTTTCACTCTGCTCCAAATTTTGTATTTGAGGTCTATATACTGGTGTGGGCAAAGGATGAGGATTACTTGCAGCAACAAGAACACAGTGCCTCTGGCAATCTAAATTCTGTTGACTTTGGCTTCCATTCGGAGGAAATTGAAACATCTGACCAACAGAGAAAATATGGCTAAATTATTACCAGAAAGAAACCCCTTTCCCATTTCAACCTCAAGAAAGAGGTATTGCCAGAACTAGGACCCTTCTCAACCACTTATGCATAATTTCTCAGCTAAGCGAGCACTACAAAACTCCACCTAACTGCACGGAGTAAATTTATAGAAAACCCTTGTAGGTACAATCACACAAAATATATTTAAAGTTGATGATGCATAATCCAAAAAAAAAAAAAGATCACAGGTTAATGATAGATGTTAAATGGATCAAGCCTCTGACCATTAGACCCCAATTTCACAAATTACCAAGAAACTAAACAGTCACTGGCTCAGCAAGATCAAATAGACAAGGTGGCCAGAATTCCAATCTCTCAACCAGATCATCTAACAGTGACCCAACTTTTCCATATGGATAACACTGGAAATAAAATAAGCTTAACGAATGATATAATAGACACAGAGGTGATATCATCTCGACATATTCAAGAGGTGGACACTACTCCAGCCAATAATAAGCTGCAGCACAATTTACAAAACTCTCACAATAAGTACCACATGTACCAGTACAATCATCAGAGTACCACACAATAGAAGCCTTAATGCTGATGCAGTCAGGTCAAAACCATAAAAGATAGTTAAGTCAATTAATGAAGTTCATCCATCTTTCTGACTTGCAGGAGCACCGGTGAACCCACCTATCAGTTTTTAGTTCCAGTAACATAATAAGCAGTCAAATTTATTGGCTAATGGAAAGACCAGAAGCTTGAAAAGCATATTAGAAAAGGGGCAGTTACACCATGAGTTTCTGGCATCCCTTCATTGCAACACTTTTTTATTCGTATAGGGAGGATTTCCAGCCTGAAATATCACAAACTTGTATCTTGTTTGTTACCATAGTTAAATGGTAACATCATGCATTTTTTATAAACATTCTAGACTTCAACAATCATTTCCTGGTTTTCGGAACATGAAATGTCATCTTGGCACCCAGTGGAGCAAAGGTGGAGCATGATGATGGAAGAAGCTTGCAATTTTATATATGGAGGAGTAAATGGGGATACTGGAAGGGAAGTGCCATGAGGTGCAACTGAAGACTTGAAATAGAGAGGCAAGGAGTTGAATTGGTAGCTTGGCTGATACCCGGAAGTGTCCACATGCAATTGATATAATCTAAGCATATTGCCAAAAGACAACACAAGACACAGTTCAGGAACCATAAGTTGACTTTATACTAGAAGTCATGATCAAGTATTATTATGGATTCCTAGGTTGATTTCACAATGCTACTTTAACACAGATTAAGGGGTTCAGAAACATCATGTCACTTATAGGAAACTGCCCAACCCAGTAACACAAGTAATGTTAGTACAACAGCCAGTAGTCCAGTACAATCTATATTTAACAGCCAGTACCATGGGAAAAGCATGCACATAGCAGATACAAAGTAAAGGTAAATAGGCATTTAATTGACTAATTCCAAGAGAAAATGCAAACAATAAAGAATTTTCTAGCGCCAAAATGCAAGAATTTTGACAAAGAACAATAGATCGAAGTGTACCATAAGAGCTTCAGAAAGCCCTTCTGCAACTGCAGCATCACTGAAACCGCCACCAGTAAATGGTACAGCTGATAACCATTGAAGGAAGATGTCAGCATCTCTTGTCCACCCACTCCGTTGCACCACAAAACCTGCATATATAAGAAAATATGAAGATGATGTGTAGCGAAACTCTAGAGGATCATCATTCCACAGTAAACATTGTGGATATCAATAGTGTGATCCAGGAACAAGCAGACTGTACAGCACATACCAGAATAAGATCCATGGGTGTTAAATGTAACCAGTGAGAGCTCAGCAATAGAAGTAGAGGCCTTCTGCTTTGGAGAGAAAAAGACAACATCACCATCTTTCAACGCAGATATTCATCTTGATATGCTCATGTATGGATTCAGATCAATGGATAAGGAAACAAGTCACCAAAGGCTAAACATTATGGCTAGAATTACCAAGATATGTTTAGACTCTGTGGTTACCCATAAAATACCTTTCATTTAAGTAAACAAAATAGAGATCAGTAATTTATCTCTTTAGACTTTGGGTACGAGTTCTCAATCTTTGGAAAAGAACTATCAACACATTCACACATAATTCATCCAAGAGAAATTTAAAGAGATACACACCAATCAACAACAGTAAACAAATAGACTAATTCATCGATGAGCAACTGCATACAACAATAGCTAATTGGTAATTTGTGAGTTGGAAAACGGTTGTGCAAAAGTTCTAGAAACATGCTCCTAGCCACAAATTACAGGCGTAACTTCTTCAAGGACCATCCGACTTGTGTTCATCCAGACTAATGACAAGATTAACAGGTGCAATAGCATTCGATAAGCCGAGGGATTTGGTACCCTAAGTGAACTATCTAAATGGTGTGCCATGGAGTATGGAGAGCTGTTCTTGTAAGATCTAAAGCAAAAGAGTCACATAGTTGACCAAATTAACAGAATGCTGCCTAGAGGTCTAAATACGGAATACAGAGTCACTATTGTGGCTCCATTGATTATAGTTCAGTGCAAGTTCAGGGCTTTAATTTTTACTGTTCTTAAGCATCGTTTCTGAACAAGGGAAATGTAGCTAGAGATGCTTACATATTCAGCAAGCTCCATATGTTCCTGCTATTCAGCAAGTTCAGGGCTTTAATCATAAAATTAGATTTAAGTCATGAAACGGCAACAGTTGCACTCAACGAAGTTCTGCATGTACACTAGCTATGTTACTCTATTTATATTAGTAGCTCTTCGATTATTTTAGTGCTATTCTCAAGTTTGCAGAGGCATGCATGGTAATGCAACACAACATGTTCCACGCTACTAATCCTTCTGTATAAGCTATTGAGATTTGTCAAACCATTTCTAAATTGGGTCGGTTTTGGTGAAATTTCCAAACGTTCCAAGATCACGATAAACTTGATAACATAAAAATGCGCTTACCTGACCAGTCAAGTCGCTACCACAAAAGTTCCTGCAAAATAGAATTTGGGTTACATTATGACATGCACAAACATGCAAAAGGCCTGGAAAACTAAGTTGCATTCAACATAGATAAAAGGTTCCGTTTATCTAAAACAAAGTTCAAAGAGAATGTATACAAAACAAAAAAAATTCATGTAAGCAGTCTGATGTGCTTGGCTGTCCACCCGAATACTCTAAACAGAAAAGGCCAATTCAGTCCCTGTGCACGGCAAGAACGACACTACCATAGCAAGGAAGCGAAACTACAAGCAGCATCAGATGAATAAAGCATTGCCAAGTTCCATTTACATCGGTTCGCACATCAATTTCGCAAACAAAGGAATGCCTTTTAGAACGTTTTCATCATTTTTTCCTCAATTTTTCCAGAAATGAAAAAGCTAGATAAATCCACTAATCAAAATGAAAACTTACTCGGTCCCCAAGGCTTAAACAAGTCGTGAGCACGCAGCAAACCCATTTAATTGATAATTCGGAACCGGGAATGAACAATACAAAACCCTAATCAACGCAGAGCACCAAAATTCGCTTCCGTTGAATTTCCAGAATCACGAAGGTTGACAGAAGGGTCAAGTACCTGATGATTTTCTCCAAGTAGTCAGAAACAATTGCCACCCAATAAGGTCCCATGGCGGCGGTACCTTCAACAGCCACGATCAGCTGTTTCTCCGCCATGAAACTGGCGCGCGTTATTCCTGCTTCACTGCGAACAAGCAGAGGAGATTTGGACCTTCCCCGAAATGGTTACTAAGGATAGCAATCAATCAAGCTTCTCTTGTCTACCGCGGTCAGTCTCCGGTGAAAAGCAGTAACCCTCTGGAACCACCGGTGATTAGTACGGGAACAGTTTAATTTTCCTACCAGGATTTATGTCGTCCGCGGTTGCAGCCGGAAAACAAACTGAAGTCTATTGTCTTTACTGAACATGTTATATTTTATGTTCCGATCTTAGTTAGGATTATGTCGATATAATATGTTGTTTCAGTGTAAAAATAGTTTTATGTGTCTACTTTGGAGATTCATATCTTACAATTGGCTCGATACAAAATGGAGATTAATGGTTTGTTTTGAAGCTGGAGTGTCCTTTTACACATTGAAGTGATTGGGAGCTCGATAGGAAGTCTAGAAGACCATTTTTGAACCTGATCAAAAAGGTATACCAAAATTGGGAAACTGCCTGAAAATGGTAAGTCTGGGAAAGTGTTTGTGAAGCCTACTTTGAAACTCAATTCGAGAAGCATGGATGAGATTCGAGTCCAGGGGCCTCTACCACATGAAAGTAGGTATTTTTGTCTACAAAGTCAAGGCATTGGATAAAATATTGGATATTTGATAGGCTTCAAACAAAAAGTTCGAAGTTGCTACTAAGTAAGCTGTCTTCTAGCACAAGACTGAAACAGCAGATTAGGTCGACTTAATCCTATATGAGGTCGACCTAAAAGTGCAAGTTACGGTGACATGCATGCCACCATAGCAAAGTTCTATATTTTCTGTTTACTTGTAACAAAAGAAATTGTGCTTCTAAGCATCTCCATCAATGCAATTGCAAAAGAAATTGCATTTGTGTTTTTATTGTCAACTCAAATTTTTTGCAATACACATCACATTCATTTCATTCACCTACATCAATGCAATTAACTTGCAATTGCAAATGTAATTAAATATTATGTTTAAATTATAGAAATGATTGACTGGGGCTTCCAAGGGGTAACTGCATGTGTTTACTGTAAATGTAGAATTGAGACTCAAAACCATCTATTTGCAGAACGTTGCAGGTATAAGGAGCTATTCAAAGAGCTTTATTCCAGATTCTGCAATAGAGCTTCTTCAAACCTATGGTCTACTGAACTAAAGTGGGCTATTGACACCTTTTCAACATCTGCTCCTCATTCAAGGGTTGGCAGACTAATTTGGCAATCTATGATCAGTAATATTTGGAGGGTGAGATGCTCGGTCAGGTTTGGAGGGTCAGTTTTAAGCCTTAGTGAAGCTGTTAAATTGATTAAGGATTACAGGTTGTATGTGAAGCTGTGGAAGTTGTTGCTTTCTTTTGAGTGCATCTTATGTTGTTGTTGCCATATAATTCTTGGCTCTTTATAGATAGTCTACAGGTGGTTTGAGTTGCTGTTTTTCTCCTCAGTGGCAGGGGTTGTAGCCACAGAGTAACTGGGTTTTTTTTATGATTAATATATAGCTAACCATTCATAAAAAAAATGAGAAAGGTAATTATGTGATAAAATTTCATTCCAAAAATACTATTCGTTTGATATTAACCATCAATTTGTAAAAGATAAAATAGAAACGGGAGAAAAAGTGTATTCATTAGCTAGAAAGTGATTTGTGAATCAGGTGTTGTGAGCGTAACTCATCTCCTTATTAGAGATAACTTAACGAATGAGCTGAGCCCAATACATCTGATATAATGCCCACAAAATAGTCTGGGCTTAAAATTTACCCGGGCTCTACAACATCATTCGCACAAGCTAAGATAGCCTAACAGTTTTTATATTTAAAAAAGGCGGAAGCCCAACTTCCAGCCCACTAAGTAGTAATGGTTTTTGTCGTGTGAGTTCCGGAGGAAAAGCCCGCGAGAAAAGTAGAAGTTGTTGAGGGGTAAAGGGCGGTACCACGTGGCGTAATAAACTGCCATTTGAATGAATTCATCGTCTCATCATCTCCTGGCACCGAATCGGCGGTAAACAACCCGCCAGAAGTTAACCGGAAACTGGTGGTCTGACTCCTGGTTAGCCATTTACACTCGAAAGTCCGAAACTTGTAAGTTGTAACAGAATCAGAGGGCAAAAGAAAAAGTGGAAGGCAACTGATATGGAAATAGCGGTGCAATCGGTTGCTCTTCCTTCTTCAACTCCAACTAGAACTGCACCCATTTCGTCGCTCTTCCCCACCTCCATTCCCAGCCGCCATGGATCTAGTTCTCGGATTCAGACGCGCGTCTCTTCAAGCTCGCTCAAGCTGCCAAGGAGCAGACATTTCTGGTTTAAGAATTCTAGGTCTCGTTTTCGCGGGATGGGCAACGGAGCTTCTGCTGTTGTATCTGAAGAAAGCGCGGTCGGATCGAGTTCCCCTGGCGACCATGCATTCAAGCTCACTTATTTGGAGGTGATTTTGATGGGTTTTCGATTTCTCGTTGTCGAATTTGGTTCTTTCATGGCATTGGGTTTAAATTTTTTTTTTTTTTTATCCTTTTCTATTCTAGGGCAACAGTTGGTTGTGGGAGGTGGAGGGTGTGAAGATTTTGGTTGACCCGATTCTGGTGGGGAACTTGGATTTTGGAATTCCATGGCTCTACGATGCTGCTAAGAAGTTCATCAGTGGTTTCCAGGTTAGATTGTCATGTCACCACTCTACTTAATCGAAGTGTGTTCTAGTAACTAGTTTGATTTTCATTTTGGTGTCTGGATGAGTTAATATGGGTTGATGGAACTGGTATTGTAATGCGAATGCAGCTCAGTGATCTTCCTCAAGTGGACTGCTTACTGATTACACAAAGCCTTGACGACCATTGTCATTTGAAGACTTTAAACCCGCTTTCTAAAATGTATCCAAACCTGAGAGTAATAGCGACCCCGAATGCCAAGCCGCTGCTGGATCCTCTTTTCACCAATGTAAGTTTGCAAACCCTGTTCAAATGCATGTCCACTTGTAAGTTGCCTCTTTCGTAATTCGTGTTATACTGATGCACCGGCAGTGAAAGGAAAGTGCACTATTCAACTATTAGTACAGATGGTTACTAGACTACAGTACAAACTTGTTTAGAACAAATCACTCGATTCATGGCGTTCTCAGTCTCAGGAAGTTTATTCTTGCTTATACCTGTTGTATGATAGTATGCAATGGAGCTTATATGGATAAATGTCTTATCAATAAATGAACGCTAGATCTCCGTGGTGTTACTTTCTGAAGCTATTATTTCTTTTGATGGACCTTCCGTGAACGATTTCATGGTATAGAAAGTGAAGGTGGATGTATAGCTGATCTATGTATAACAGGAGGATGGATATGATCATATGAAAAGTTTGATAGGCCTTCAAAATTTAATTGCTATCTGCACTAGGAAACGCTTTCCATATGCAAAACCCTAACATGGTCTGAGATTGTGTCAGGTAACTTATTTGGAACCAGGTCAGCTCTCTGAACTGGAAGCTAAGAACGGCTCTAAAGTAACTGTCAAAGCTACACCTGGACCAGTACTGGGACCTCCTTGGCAGCGACCAGAGAATGGGTGAGTTCCTTGTGGCTATTGCACCCAATGCAGTCAAAATCGCGCTTTAAAACTTAAAATCTTACGGTTTTACGCTTCTAGGTCACTAAAACGCTTTTGTTTCCATGTAAAATCTTAAGTGCATAAAATCGGAGTAAATGCGTTTTAAAGCTTAAAAGCTTACGCTTTTACGCTTCTATTTCACCAAAACTCTTTACGCTTTTACGTTTTTAGTTCACTAAATGGATATTCTTTTCATGAAATTATTCATATAAAGTATATTGTAAAGGTAAAACATCAACAATTTGATAGATTTTATATTAAAAGATACATATCAGGTACTTAGATGCATTCTCAATTTGAGTAGAGTAATCTAATTCACTAGCTAGGCCTTTCCCAAATTTATTAACATAGACAGGATGGTGACTTATTGTTAAGATCTATGTTTATGAACTTATTGTTAAGATACTATGAGTTGCTCTACTTTAGATGTGAATTACAAGTATTTATTAACCTATCCAAATTTTGTGCACTCACATTTTACATAGTATATATATCGTACTCAACAGATTTTTAGTTATTTTCAGTATGCGTCAAAAACTTACGCTTTTACGCTTTGATTCTACGCTTTACGATTTTACCCATTTTCCGCTTCTAGGTAGAATCGCGCTTTTAACTGCATTGATTGCACCGATCTTGGCTGTGCTCTTACTAATACCTGCCACTTCAATGAATAACTGATATGTGTGAAATTGTTTGCTTTATCAGATACCTTGTTATATCCCCACAAGGACAATCCACTCTTTACTATGAACCACATTGTGTATACAACCAGGACTTAATCGGGAAAGAAAATGCGGACATTGTGATCACACCTGTCATAAAGCAGCTCCTGCCCAAATTTACTCTAGTTTCAGGACAAGAAGATGCAGTTCGACTAGCAAAGTTGCTGCATGCAAAGTAAACACTCGGTTTCTTGGTTTGGATCAGTTATCAGAATGCTCTTCTGTATTCTTTTTGCATAGTTGTATCATATACTGACAGGATTGTAATGCTGCCCAGGTTCATTGTGCCAATGAGAAATGGAGATCTGGATGCAAAAGGGTTACTTGCAAGTATCATTCAGTCAGAAGGGACAATTGAATCATTCAAGGTTTGGATTCTTTTACCCGCACACTAAAGCACCAATTTTCACAACCCATTGAAAAAACTAAAACAGAATACTTCCTGGTTTGAACTTTGAAGAGATGTATGATAGGGACATTGTTAATTTCACCATGTTCCTCATCTCCTGTGGGATCAATTGAAGGCTTAGTCGTTTCTCAAGTAATTCTTCTGCACAAGCCATTGTGTGTCACACCAGCTGGATCGAATGAGGCTGTAACTTATCTAATCATTTGATATTTCCCCTAGAAAACAACTGAAAACATTACAATACAGTAGGAAAACCATGATGATAAACATACAAAAAAGTATCTTCATTCTAGTTTCTAACGTAGAGGACAGAGGACTTCTGGATTCACCAATCTGGAGTCTTACCAAACCATTTCCAAAATCTGTTGCCGTCCTTTTGGTATAGTTTTTGGACATATGCTACCCATTTTATCTATATTGTGTGACTAAATCAATTACCTGACTCTCTGACATGTTGAGTAGGAGTGGAGGACAAACCTATGAGCATGGCAGCATGCCAATGATTTACCCTGCATAGGTCTTCCCTCCACAATTTCCTGTGAATTAGAGCCGGTTTGAAATGGATCAACATTCAACATTGTGTAAAAGTGTAAAGGGGATATGACCATGAGCAGTCAGCTTCGTTTAGCATATACTTATGCCATGCATAGGTCTTCCCTCCACAATTTCATGTTGAATTAAAGCTGGTTTCATCAAAATGGATCAACAGTCAACATTTTGTAACAGTGTAATGGGGGATATGACTATGAGCATTCGGCTTCTTTTAGCATATACTTATTATTGAATCCAATTCCTGGAATATCCATGTGAAGCCGGTTTCAGCTTGTGTTGTTACCCCTTGCCTTGTTTTGTTCACTGCAGGAACTTCTGTCCAAAGAGTTGCCAGATGCTCGCGTCCTGGAGCCTACACCTGGTGTGCCACTTGAAGTCTCAGCAGCAGCATCTTGAGAAATGGAAGTTTCCCAAATGGGAAACAGTTTCAGGATACATTATCAGTCGTAGATTCCAGCTAACTCAAATGGGATTGTCTGGAGCATCCCAACTGGAGATTCCTTTCTGTGCATGGGATCTGAAGTAGGAACCATCAGCAAGACAGACATGAGACGTTTTTGTCTCAATTCTTCTTGTATTCTGCGATTAGGCTATAGATGATGAATCATTGTCTTGTCCTCTTAGTTAGTTCCAACGTTTTTGTATGTATTGTGCAGCCGATTGAGCTGAATACAGACATACATACAGTTGTATATAAGTATATGCTTATACACACAATGACACCGTAGCCACATTTGTTCTTATCACTGCCAGACAACTCCGTCTCCATCATTATATATGTATACCGTATTCCCGATATGGTGGCATTTGGAGATATTCTTGCAAAAACTGCCATTGTTCCAGCAAGGGTCTAGGATTCCCATCTAAAGGTGTTACCGCTTCAAAGCTCATTGACAGTTCATCTCATCAACCAACTTTTCATTTTTATTTTAGGCATGATCATGACTTTCGTTTGCTATTTGTTATGCTCCAACATTTTTAGGCATGACTTTCATTTGCTATTTGTTATGCTTCAACATTACGGACTAGAACCAGAAATATAACCGACAGATCGAAGAACTGAAATTTAAGGATTTGAATTTTAGTGGTTAAGAATGCAAGTTGAGGGAAGACCAAACGCCAACATTGGAGGGCGGCATAGCGGAAGGGAACAGACAAGCTGAGAATTTCGTGGGATTTGAACCGTCGACTTCTAGGTTGTCGTCGTGTTATCAATTTATCTCCATTATGAGTGAGGGTGACCCGTCCTTAATAAACTCATATCATTGTTTATGTCACGTATGTTAGAAGTTCATGTTATATACTTGTCTTTAACTCGACTACGGACTCCCTCTTCTCTTCCTATCTACCACGATGCATGGTTTGTATAAGACTTTATACGAATCCAGATGAGGTGGGGGAAAATGAGTCTCCAATATACATGATAAGTGAGTTATCAAGTACGTATCTGTTAAGCATGAAGTGGCGCGCTAGTGATGGATTTAGATATATTATACTACTTGCGCAAACCAACGGATTTTTTGGAGGTAATATTACACGAAATTGTTTGTTGAAACAAAGGAGTACAAACATTATTAACCAAAATTAAATATGAAATTGGCATTTCATGCACATTGGATTGCTGAGATTTGAGAATAGAGACTTGATCCTTGGAATATCCTCAACTTTGTCCCTCTTGCAAGGGGAATATCCTCTCAAATGTCAAGATAAGGGTAGAAGAAGGGAAATATTGGTGGCTTTTGAGTTCAGTAGAAGTACCATAGCCTTTAGCTTTATTGCCCTTTCAATTTGCACAGGATCGGTTTAGGCACCTAGAAGAATTGCAATTTGCAAACCCCGATCCATATTAATCGTCATATGTATTTTTGGACGAATGTGTATTGATATACTAGCTTTAGTTTGTGAGGCATGATTTGAAACTTCCCATTTACTTTTTTCATATTATAAATATGAATTAATACATATTTAATGAATACAATGAAAATTAATTATATTCAAATAGCTCATTCATATTTCACAGATTAAAAACCTTACTAATACAATAATTGTGTTCATAAAACAACCACGACGGGATTTCATATTGTGAAAGAAACACAAAAACATTCGATGTCTACAATCTTGAGCAAGTCTCTTAATGTATCTCACTAAACAATCATTAGCAAACTGGCCGCCAATTGATTTGGAAACTTGTTCTTCATGTAACTCAAAGTTGAAAAATGCTCCTAAACTTGCAGACGCAATTGGTAGAATCAAAACTACTGAAATCGCCACCGTCGTTGGACAATTCCGGGGTTGTTGGGGGAAAAAATCGAATAGCATAAGGAGAAAAGATATCCCAATTAGGTCTTTATTGTAATTGGAATCTTGTTAATAGTATAATAAATTAATTTTATGTCAATTTATGAACAAGTAGGGAGCTGTGTTGTTATCAGTGACACAATACTCTCATTACCACCTATAGTTGTTGTGTTCAATCATCAATATAAATATATGAGGTACTTTTTTCCTCCAAAATTTACTAATGTCTCGTGACAAGGACCAATATAATGGGTCTGCCTCTGCATCCGCCTATGAGTTTGTGGCTAGCTCTAATATTTTTAACAAAATCAGTTAATGATGTTAACTTTAGCCGTCAGTTACCTGGTTAGTTCGATGATTTAACCACTAATCGAACATCACTCCCAATTTTTTTGATAATGGCGACACAAATTTTATTAACATCACTCCCAATTTCAAGACTCCTAGTATTTATGGCCTCTTCTCTTCAAAGTTCAAACTCCCAATTGATATCTATAAAAGTCTTTTATTAGCTCTTATTTGTTTACCTCAAAATCTTGAGCACCTATAAAAATAGGACGTTTGGGAGGCTGCGTCCATCTGTTGGATTGAATCTGATTCTGATGCTCCTCTGGTTGTTAGTTGTTACAAGTCACTTTGGTATATTCCTGTTTGTATACCTTTTAGATAAATCCAACCACATAGACCAACAAACAACCAATACACTCCTGGGAACTAATACTCAAAACATTCTTGTATTCATCAAAACAGGGGAGAAAAGGTCAATTTGAAGGGTCATTTGGCCCAAAGGCTAACCGAAGAGCCAACACAAGTCCAGGTTTTATGGGGGATCGGCGATTACTTTATCCTCATAATGTCAACATTTACAACCTAAGTAAGGCCTATTATTGGGTGCATCGACTGATCGGTCATCTTTATCAAGATTTCAAGATTTCCTTCTAAATTTAGATAAGCCATTTAAAATTTAATCATGTGATTTGGATGTTTTACTCATGTGTTTGGATGGACGATGTGATTTCTGCCAGACTCGAGAAAAATTATTAAAATGGAAAACGTTGACTTTTATCAAATTTATATTAAAAAAACGAATAAGATCGAGTACATGGCAGGTCAATAATCTGATATAATATTTTCTTGATTGTAGAATACAAGAATGTGGTATTTTGAGAGTAAAAAGATTGGATCTTTCGCGTTAAAATTAAGTCAATAGGGTTTTAGACTTGAGAGCACGTTGCGTGATACATTACCATGTGGTTGTTTCACGTTATTTTGTTTTAAACAAAATTATGATCCTCTCCTTCCTGAACCCTAGCCCTTGGGGAGAATAAGAGTCCAATAAATAACATTGTCCATGAAACCGTACCGGAGACCGTACCGGGAAAGTTAGTGGCAGGGTATTTTATAGCAGAACTGTGGTTTAACCGTACTGCAACCCTTGGTACCATTAAATACCGCTTATCGATTTAGCCTCCAATACTGATACTTTATGGTTGAACCGCCGGCACCATACGATTCCTTTACAATGATAAATAAGGGCCTTTTTGGGGTCAAAGAAACTCATTCCATTTGGGGATTCCTCAGTCCTTTCCTATCTTTATCCAGAGAAGGAAACTATGGTACTTGGTCCCACGTGTACCTAATACACACACAAAGTTCTTATTTTGTAAATATTGTGCACTAAACAATAACAAGAGGAATAAAATAAGTGATCCTTTCAAAAAAATTAGTGCGAACATCTTATTTAATTGTTACCTAAATATGCACAGAATCTTGCATAGGGGCGAGATTCTTGGGTACCAGAAATGAATATATCTTATGTTCCAATTGCTAAACGATATACTAAAGTATTTGAGGAATATTCTTTTTGGACATCCACGGGAACGGGGGATGACTAGGATGGATGAACATAGTAAACAAAGACAATAATGCAACTTGTAATTTTATGATTAAGCACAAAGTGAGCACAATATTGTAAATAACAACGAGACTATTTTGAGTGGGGTTTTGAGGGAAATGATATCATACAATGCACCCAATTCTAAAAGTAGACTTAACACATTGGGTTTTGGATTTTAATTGGTAGAATTAGTCTAACATGATGATATAAAGTAAGATCACAATTAATCAATGCATTACTTGAAATTTCTTAATCTTCAATTTTGAGTTTAAACTTGTGATTTATCAATCCAATGAAGAAGCATGCTTGTTTTTTTATAAAGAGTTAGTGTGAGTAGTGTTCTTTCAGCTCATACTATACAATTATATTAGACAATTCCTATCGAGTATTATTTATATTTACATTATAATTTTTGTTTAAAACAAGTTTCATCCAATATGTTCGTCCCACTACCACAATCAGAATAAATGAACATCATTAATCAATAACGACATCATATCATACACACAATTATATTAGACAATTTCTTAAGGTTTTCAATATTACAAAGTATGCTTTGCGATTAATCATGTGGTGCTTTCGTGCAATGAATAATAATAAATATTGAATGCAAAATTAATATGCACTTCAAGTTGATAATTAGTAAATGAAAGAGGATGAGTAGATGATTAGTGAAATAAGTAGGGTTAAAATTGTAAAAAGTCATCATGGACTTTGTAATCCAACACAAATCCCACCTTTTGGGGTGGAATTCTCAAGTCCGTGGGGCCCACGGATTTATTCCTCCTAAACCCATCAAGCAAACGACGGATTGTGTACAAAGTCCATGATGCTTGGTTTTTAAGTACCAAATCCATGATCAATTCCATGAAGCAAACGAGGCCTATATTTGTATAACGTATTATATATTATGAAAGATATTCTCATACTTGATTCTCTCTTAGAATACTACGAAAATGTTTCTTAAGGATTTAGGTGTCATCGCCTACATGCCGAACGTAAGATGTATGCTTTTGAAGGCATTATCGATGTGGTGAGAGCGATCAATATCATCATCCTTATCGTAGGAAAGTAATCCTTATTAGATTAATGATTCATAGTAAGAGTAAGACGAGATAACATAATATCCTCATTGGATTAACCAAAATTCAAAATCTAACTTGGTGATAAATGGTGATGCAAACACTTTATGTTACATAGATGAAGGAACTCGACTTGATCACATGTCAGCACCATAGGTACACGGTGGTCAGGTTAAGTCGGCGAGGGAGTATTTCGTTTACAGACGATGAAGTCAAGCCGATGCTAAGTTTACGAGAGAAGTATTTTCCTTGTGTTTGATTTCTATTGAATTGTAATATACAACTTTGTAAACTACCAGGATACAATACCTTAACTTCTTGTTAGGTGCACAACACTTTTGCTCACCAGAGTTGTTTTTGCCAAGTTTTTTCATGAAACACCATTAACAATATGATAATTGTAAAGGTCATAATGTCAAAAAGGACGTGATCATTCCTATGATAGAACTTCCGTGTATATATTAGATATTGCTTGGCCAAAGTATTGACGGACAAGGAAAGAAACCCGGACGATCATTTCCTATCTTAAGCACAGTTATCTACTTATCTTGAAGTAAGAAGAAAGATTTGCCAATTAATTTATTCTTAACCACTATTCAACGTTTATAATTCAACTGTCATTATCTTCTAATGTAAACGAATTTCCCAAAGGCCAAATCCATCGCTTGTTTATTTCTATCGACTATCTATCTACTCCGTCACAAAATAATACACGCACGCACCACGCCCTTCTTTTTTCCTCTATCGGCATATGATCGTACAAAATTTTTACACTATGCGACCAAAAAAAAGAAAGCATTAGATTCCCGGCGAGCTAGTGGCCGTGCGAGTGGACGAACACGTGCTCGGGGAACACGGGTGATGAGCTCCTCCGCCTTCACTCCGGCTGCTGCCTCTTCCTTCCGACTGCAGCTGCTCCGTACTGCTAGCCTGCTGCTTTTGAGCACCCACCGTCGTCGCCACCGGCGCATATTTAGATCCACCCTGAGCCGCCGACGCCGGAATGTTGGCCGTTTCTCCAACTGCTGCCGCGGCCGCCACCGTGTATTCCGCCGACGGTGGCACCCATATCCCGCCGACGACCACGAACTGTGGGCCCGGCTGGTTGCTGGTATTCTGCACGCCGTGGCTCGGCCGCCTTGTGTGCAACCGATATTTCTGCCACCGTAAAAAAAAGGGACATCAGATTCCGCGGCCAGATTGCCGGTTAGTTACGTGACCTTTCCGCAACCATCAACTCTCTTTTTCGAACTTAGGATGCTCTAATGAAGGAAAAGATCTCTAAATCCCAATAATTAATAAAATTAAATTAAATCAAACCTAATGCTTAATTATTGGCTGATTAGTGGAAAGGTTTTTATTGATTATTATTCCTCATTTCTCCGCGTTTTCCCACCCTCAAGCGGCCGGTCGGTGATCAGAATTGAGTGAGCAAACTAACCTGCAAATGGCTCTTAACTTCGTCATTAGTGAGCCCATCCACCTTCATTAGCTCCCTAATTTGCTTCGGTGTCGCAGCTGTTGAACCACAAACGATAATTAATGAGAGATCGTAGTTGTAATAATGGCAATGAGAGACTAATTACGGATCATCATTTAACCCGACTGGGACCGGCTCGGTTCGATTCAGTGGGTTACTAACCGTGTGAACCGCCGAGCTGTTGGAGCGCGTGAAGGAATCTTCTGTGGAGTTCTGGAGACCAGCACCGCCTTTGCTTTCTCTGCTGCGCCTGCGCTTCTTTGTTATCCACATCCTTTTTTTGTTGTTGTTGTTTGTTGCTATTCTTATTGCTGACGCTGGGGTCGCCGCCGCCGCCGTCGGTCCCCGCCGCGGCCGCGCTGGAACTCAGTACCGAGGATGGAGTAGTCGCAACAGCAGTAGCGACGGCGGTGGTCTTGTCATGATTACCGCCAGCACCGTTGCTCTTCCCAACAACGCCGCCGCCGCCGCTGCTATTTTTCTCCTTTTGGAATGGCTGGAATGCGCCTCCTGATCCGCTTCTCTTCACCTCTTTCACCACCGCTCTCCTCGGCACCTCCTAAAAATAAGTAAACAAAAATTTAAATTAATCCTTCTTTCTTTCTTCACAGTCTCCTAATTATTTCTCTGGAGATTTTCCGAGCAGCCAAACAGTAATCGCAAGAGGAGAAAATTGAATTAGCCTAGGTTACCTCATTTGGGGGCGGTGGATCTGGGGACTGGTTCCACAATTGAACAGATCTAAGCCAGTCTGATTTCTTGTTACTACTACTGCTCTTATGATCTTCCGTTTCCTGATTTTCGCTCCGGTTCCGTTTCAGTGACCTCTCGTCGCCGCTGCCAATATCCTGATTTTCGTGATCTTCTTCATCGTGGCGGTGGTGGGTATTGAGATCATTTTCATTCTCATTTCCTTCATCGTCGTCGCAGGAGGAGTTGTTGTGCGGCTTAATAGGGATGAATTCTTCCAGCACCGGGCCTCCGCCGCTGGAGGTTTGCTCCGAGCAGTCGTATTGGCCGGGCATGGTGGTGGTGTACTCCGTCGGCGTCGAACCAGACAGCTCCCTCCGACATGCCTCGATCGCTGCGGAATCACACATCAAACAATTAAATCCAAGCGAAGGAAAAACGTAAGTAGCAGATGGTGGTATTGAATTAGATTGGGGGAAGCAGACCTTGGGTGACGAGCTCGAGACAGAGGGGGAGTTCACGCTTGAAAACCTGGATTTTCCGGCGCTCTTCCTCCAAGGCGTCGACGTACTCGTGGCAGCGCTTCCTTTGATCGGGGAAATCCATCTGACTTCGAATTTTGCTTGTTAGTTTGTTGGCAGCAAGAAGAAGAAGAAGAAGAGGAGCATAGGAGGATCCGAATACAGAGGAATCGGGGGAGGGGAATATGAAGAAGACGAAGGGAGAGAGGAAGGAGAAGGATAATAATAAAAAGGGGATCTAATGGAGAATCGGAAGGGAATAAACTTTGTGGCAACGAATAGCCCCACCAGGCATAAAATAAAATATAAAAAAAAGGAACGAGGAGGAAGAAGGTTTGGTTTGGTGGTGGAGGAGGAGGCCGGACGGACGGACGGAGGAGGGATTCGGGTTTTGAAGGATACGGCGGATTGATGACTGGCGTGGCGACGGAGAGAGAGAAAGCAGAGTGACGGAAGGGACGGGAGAAATGAGGAAAACAGACAGAGAGAGTGGAGGAGAAGGAGAGGGGAAAGGGAGGGATTCCGAAGTCGGGGCGTCGCGTATTCATGGGGAATCTTTTTTTCTTCTTTTGATAGTTGGTTTCGGCAGTGGGCTGCCAGCTGGCGGTTCTTCCTAACCTTGTGTTCGGTTTATGATTTATTCGCCGCCGTTTTGGCTTGTTTTTGTTCAATTTTAATTTTTATAATAAATGAATAAAACGGGAATGGCGGAGATGGAATATTCGAGGGAGGGATTCGTTTTTCGTCGGCTTGCGGGTTTGCTTTTTCCCGGCCCCATTTTCTAGCTTATTCTTTCTTGCCCCTTCTGTCTCCGTCCATATCCCTTCTCTTCGCGATTGAATCGACCAAACGGATATGTATTGGGCCGATTATGAATGGGGCTTATATATATTCATTCCCCTTGCGTCGGTCTCTCATGGGCCCAACTGTGTGTAATAACGTCAAACATGTTGGGCTTTCTCTTTATGCAAAGTGTGGCCCATCTCATTTTTATTGGCCCTAAGCATCCAGTCCAGGCGGACATGGCAAATGCAAATATGAGTCACGTAGAAGATATTGATGTGCAAAGTCTTCCCATATTCATTCAACCAGAAGCACAAAGTGTATCACATGGCCGCATCCCCAACTTCGTGGACCATCTTCCAATTATATACCAATTGTACTAATTGACTTGGTTAATCCCCTATCGGTAGTATCTGAAATTTGTTTTGGAACATTTATTGTATGACTTCCTGCTTTCTACTTTGATAATTTGTAAACATGTATTGTATGTTTGAACAACGGTTAACCCATAATGTCAGTATAAAATATCCTATCATGTTGTTTTGAACATGTATCGAATGGACGATACTATTTTGGTGTAAGGGAATGAAGAATTAATAGTAGATGGATAGAAAAATTGGAAGATGATAGAAACAATAAAATTGCGGGATGAAATACTAGGATGTCATTTGAGAAAAATTTAGGGGTTGCGACATGAGGAAGCTACGTGTACTTTTATTTTTTATTTTATAAATAAATGTTAAAATACAAGGTGAATGTATATAATTTTAGGTATGAAATTGGTAACAAATTGTTTGAATGAGCTATTAAAATTTGCTATTTCTTCTATATCTAGATGTGTATATCGAATTAAAAAAAAAGAGGTGTTGTAGCATTTGATCTGGATGTATATATTTTTTCTAAAATTTGGTATTATATTTAATAATTTTTAAATATGATAATATATTAATATTTTATTAATGTTAGAGTATAAGATTTCCGAAAATAGATGGTGCAGCAGGTTCACACTTGGTTGGGGGGGTAGTTGTACAAGACAGAACGAGTAGTGTGATTTTTTGTCCAGGGCTTTCGATATTCATGTATCCTAAATCCTCATCTAGCTGAACTGATGGCGCTCCAAGATACAATCCAGTAGTGTTCTTTGAAGGGTCTTACGGAGGTGGTATTCTAAGGAGATGCAAAAGAATTCATTAATAAGGTATGGGGTCAGGAGATACGTGATGCTAAAGGTGGAGTCATTTTCAAGGAAATTGACAGACTCCAAAAGCCGTATGAACGCTTTGTTTTGAAATTCATAGGCATGCAGAACAACCGGACAACCCATTTGGTGGCGAAAATGACTGTTTCTTTGTTTCCTGCAAGTGTTCGTGGTTTTGATTTTTGACATTGGCTTCTTTATGGGTTGTAAACTGTGTTATCTTCTTAGTTCTTGGTAACACAAGTGAGCTATTGAAAACAAAATCTCTGAAATAGATGCTCCCCCACTCTAGCTCTCCCTCGCATTCAATGAGTTGATAACTTAAAGTAATCCGACCAACGGGCCGATCACTCCAACAAAGCAATTTTGTTGTCATTGATGTTGATGCAAGATGTTTATCTAGAGGAGAGGTCCAACAAGTTAGATCTTGGCGCTGCGATGCAAAAATGGGTCAGGCAGAAATGGTTTACACAAAAGACCATATTATGATCATATAGAACATGTTGGTAGAGATAGCCACAATCTCATTTTATTGACGAAGCCACCGAGGAGAAGGGATGAATTATCATTGGTACTCTAAATTTTACAAGGATGTTATATTGATAATTTCTTTCATTTCACGTAAATTCGTATTATGACTGAAGTAATATTATCTCAAGTCATAAATTGCACAAGGAATGGTTGTTTGGATTAATGTGCACTGATGCAAAATGTCATGTAGCTTCCACGAATGAGTAAGTGAGGACCAATCAGTGTGTTTGCTACCGAGAAGGATAAGAATCATGATGATTGACTTATACAGATTGAAGAGATAGAAAGTATAGAGTTGTAAGTCATTTGTGTGTATAGTGTAGCAGAGTGAATAGAGGTGATTTAGTAGTATTTCACAGTGGTAGGGGTATTGAGAAAAGTTGTTATTTGTTGGTGTTTGTAGGCATATATTGTTTGCCTGTTTCTTTTGTTTGTATATGAGATTTCTACAGCATATTGCATGCTTTGTATTTTCTTCTTTTTCTGCCATTTTATTTAACAAATTATTTATCGGAAAAAACTGGTCAGCACATTCCATCGACTTGATTTGGACATTGATGATTTTGATTTTCTTAACCACAAATTCATCACCTTTGGTGTCACTATGGTTTTTGCTCTAAGGGCAATCCAGATTGGGTTTTCTTTATGAAATCTCTTGGTGACTTCCATTTTCACCATCGAGAATTGGAGTCAAGTAAGCACTTTGGTTTTTTTCATGTTCACTGTAAAGGCATCAGGATGCTTGGTAATAGTGGCTAGATTTATGGCTAATAGCTTGGTTTCGATTGTCCATTATAGTGTTTATGTTGTACTGTTTCTTTTGTGGCTAATAGCAATGGAATAATGACTTTCCATCATATTATTATGGTGTTGTTGACCTATCTTCATAGACATGCTAATAGGTAATATCAGTCAGAATCTAAGTATCAATTTGCAAGACTACGTCTGGCCAATGAGTCGGGTAATAAGCTAGTGGACTATAATGATACGTTCGCCTCACACACATACACACAAAGCTTTTATTTATTTCTGATGATGGATGGGCAGTGGCCACCCAGTTATCCTTCTAAGTTATGTGGTAGGGATGACAATCAAATTGACCATTGTGGGTATTCAACCATCTCCAATTTAGTAAACGCGGAGAATTTTCGTACTGATTGCATATGAGACGGGTATGTGTAAAAATTCATAAAAGAATTTAATGATTATAAAGCGGGTGTAAATTTCTTTCCCTCTTTCACTTCTTCCCCTCTCATTAACAGAATTTTCCTTAGTTCCTTATTACTTAATAGATGTGTTGGAATTAGAGATGAATGGCTTTGATAGAATCGTAATGGATTAATAAACGTTTTACGATTAGATGCTTTGAATTCCACGTTGTTATATATATGTGCATATCAGACAATCCAAGTTCTTTACAAATTACAAAACCATTTTCTTATAAATTGTTTGAGGAGAAGAAACCATTAATAATAAATACACAGTTGATGAAAATTCGTCACAACCAATCCAATCCACTGGCCGTCCTAAGTCACTGGACTCGTACTTGGATCAGCAGAAGAGGTTTACACGAAATTAGAACTGACACATGTTACTATGCATCCAATGGTGACCACAGTGAGCCAAAGAAAATCCACCGAGAAAAGAGAGCCTGGGTCGATGGAGAGAGCATCATCAGCCAGCCAGCCAGCCGGGTCAAAAATTTCAGAGACCCAGATGAAAACTGGCAGTTGCACAGTTTTCAGGTACTGTTCCAATTTTCCCAGTTCACTCTGTTTTTCTATTATATTTCTGTTGCTGGTGACACTTCATGGAAGTGGGCGGCAATGAACAGTCGATCGCTCATATAATTTATCAGCTAGCTAGTGAGAGAGGCAGAGAGAAAGAGTTACCTTTTTCCAAAGTTTGCCTATCTCGTACAACAAGGGAAGAAAGGGCAATGTCTTGCTTTATCTTTCCCGACATTCAAGTCACAAATCTACCGTTTTATCACCAAAGCATATGGCCATGGCGATGGTTGTTTGGTGTTGTGTGGCCACTCTAGCGGTTTCCTTGGGCTCTAGTGCTTTAGTCTCTCATGTACATAAATATTCCTACTTGGTAACCCAAAGTATACATGAGAAATTTTGGCCACAAATGGAAACATAGGCTTCTTTGTTAAATGGCAAAAAACACTGTAGTCGCTAGGTTTAACCCAAGAAATCAGTATGATATGCATAGTTTAATGACAGCTGCTCCTTACTACAAATGGAAAATTTTGTGGCATTCCTAGTTAAGTAGAAGTATCATGCATGTATTCTAAGTGATGTTGGTTTGATATGAAGTGTTGAATATGATAATAGTTAGTAAAATACGGTGTGAGAAAGTTACATACAAAATACGTACGGGTATTTTACTATGTTTTTAAGCTATTTTTACGTTTAATAGTACACTAATAGTCATAAATATATAAAAAATAATTATTTTAAAAATAAATATACATATAATAGTACAGCTAACAATTTAATTCACTAAATACGAATATTAAACGTTGTATACAGGTTTTATACGTATTTAGTACGGGAGCCATCAAATGAACGAAAAAAATGAAACGACTTGACTATAATACGGATACAGAAGTTTTTAACAGATAAAATACGTACGGGTACATATACGTGTATTAAACGGAGTGTATACTAACTATGGATATGATTAGTAAATGGTTGCACCAGATCATGCCAAATCGCTAGGAGGAATGGTTATAAATAAATCATTTAGACATGTTGACAAGTAATTTGTAAACCTACATCAAATATTTGTAAACGTTTATTCGATAGGTTTACCGACGACAAAACTGTTGTAATGAATATTTGTTGTGATTCTGGATTGAAAATAATGTTGAAAAAAAATATTTTCCTATACGCAGAGGTAAAACAAAAAAATTATTAATTTCCATATTTGTGAATATTTGATTACAAGAAAGAATCTCCCAAATCAAAGATCAAGAGAAGACCATTGCATCAACAAAAAATGTAAACAGGAGAAAGCTGCAGGACAAGTCTACAAAACGTCGCAGAGCAATTCTACACAAAGCAAGATAAACACTCTATGTTTAGCAATAGGCGTAAGAAGTGATAAGTGTTCATTGTCTGTATTGCTTGGGTGTTAGTCAAGAGTTTGAATTCCATCTAAAGGGATTCAACTTGTAGTTAGATCGGAATAAGATAAAAACCTTGACACTAGCTAGGTCTCAAGGGGCGAGCCACCTTGGTAATCAAGATGCAAAGCAATAGGCCAAATTTGAGTAACAAAAGATCATGTGTCCTTGTTCCTCTCCTTATTCACTTTTGAGTCGATATGTAAAGTCACCTAGTCGAGCTGGCTCATGAGCCGAACAAGGGTTAGCTCAAACTCAAATCATTAATAAACTAGTGAAATTTTTATTTATTAATCCAACGGATTTTTATCGAATCTAATTTTAAGTCGGTCATAATTAACGGTTTTGCTCATTAACAACCCTACACATGCATCTTGCTATTCAAATCGTTGAGAAAACAATTTATCGCCACGCGCTGCCAGCAGCTAACTGTCAACGTGGTAGTTAGTACAATTGAACCTGGATCATGAGAGGGCAACAATCATAAATGAAGGTTGGAGTTTGGAGGGTGGGAATGGATATTATTACACGTATCGTATGTTTAACTTGCTAATCCCCAAAACCCTAGGCCTAAACCTAGTATATATTGGGAAACACACTTTGGTTGGAGGATGGGATCTTCTGCTTGAGAAACGTCTTTTCGAGGGAAATCTAATTACTTTTTTTCTTTCTGGCAATCAATCGGGGCCATTGTCTAATCAAAGGGCAGAAAGTTGAGTATATGTCCCACCACATTGATATCGGTGGTTATTTATTTTAGGCCCGTCGATAGAAAATAAAATATTGTTCCATATTCTCTGAATAATGCAAGAGACATTTGGTATTGCATAATGTGCAAGGCGGAATATAGGGCTACACCATGTAGGAACAAAAGAACATATATTAGTGCACAATATTATTATCTAGATTTCCATAATTATGTGTGCCAGCTCAATATATGATGGCACTAATGCATGTATAGGGAAGTAAACGTGTCATTTCAATGGGAAAAGAAACTTCATTTTCTTAAAATGGATTGTGTGTGTAGAGTTTGGGGAATATTGTTTGTGGATTTGGAAGGTTATTCAATAAGCGAATTTTCAAACAGACGTACATTTGATCGTGTAGCGGTATGTGGCGGTTTGGTTAACCTTATTGGAAAAGCATTAGAATTCGGAAAATCGAATTAGGCAATTACTGAAAATTAAAATTGATAATCTCTTAATTATTTCGGTTTTCATCAAAATAAATCTAAAATCAATCCTTCACTATGTTAAGGACTATGATTTTGTAATGATTTTCGGTTTTATCTGGAATTGTTGAAGGCTTATCACTTTTTACCCGTTAAGGTAAATCGATAAACCATTAAAATTGATTGGTTTTGGTTAAAACAAAAACAAAACAAAAAAAATCGAAATCAAACCGCCAGCCCTAGGTGGTGCTGAGCAATCCTCATTTAAAATTGATCACTTTTAAATGGTAGGTCACTATATATGTTTATACCTACACATAAAACTAAATATGCATACATAGGCTATGTTTTTATCTAGCTATCTTGCATTATGCTTTCGAGATTACATAAATGACGCAGCTAGCTAGATGATGAACGATGCCGGCCTAGAGACATTCTCATATTCTGAGCCCAACGGCTTCTTATAACTTTGCTTGCGACCAGCAGCACTGACACTGATTGATGATGACAACTATATATGACAATAGCTTTGCTAACGAAAAAACCGTACCAGATCGAGAGCCCCAAAATCATCACCAAAATTGACTCTGATCAGTTAGCTAACCTAGCTAGTTTCCCATGCTTCCAAGTTCCAACACACATCTCTCTCTCTCAGCCTGTCCATGTCCATCTCCAGTTAAGTTAGCTAGCTAGCATGATTATGGACATATGCACCCATCTCCAAATCTCCAAAGTTTTGCCCTTAAACCGTCTCTTTCAGCCCGGCCCCTAGCCAGTTTCCAAGTACAAAGCCCCCCCGCGCGCCTTCTATTGCCATTCTGGAGTGTTAACATTTGCTCCATCTCCGAAACTCTCAGTCAGTCAGTCAGTCAGTCAGTCTCCAAAATCAACTTTTGCGCCCACATAGAGAGAGAGAGAGAGAGCAAGTGAAGTTAATGTGCTACCAGAGAGAGATCAGCTGGAGCTGGAATGCTGGATCGATAGACGGTGGACTCAACTCAATTTCTAAAGCGAAGACACTGAGAGATAAAATGAAAACCTTTTTTAGCTGAGAGTGAGACATAATAGAGAGTAACTCGGGACTCGAGCTCTCTAGTGTAATAGAGATAGAAATATCAGAACCAGAGAGAGAGAAAGAGAGAGAGAGAGAAGCCTTCTCTTCTGGTACGCTATTCTATGCATCATCTTCTATTGTCCACCACCACCCTTTTCCCCTCCTTTGCCGCTTCTTTGTCTCCTCCATCCCCAAACCACGCCAAAAACTCTCTCCCACCACCATATCCTAATCTCCTCCACGTGTTCTCTCTTTCACCTCCTCCATCCTCCTTTCTCTAGCTCCATCTACAAAGAAACCCAACATGCAAACGCCTTCCTTGACCTACATATCCTCAGCCGATGACCAACAACAAGATGATGATTCCTTGCTCTTGCTTTCCCTCGCCCCTCCTGGCCAACAACCCATCACCCAACCTTCCACAAAACCCAATCACCACCACATCTTCACCAACGAAACCACTTTCACCGCCAGTGGTGTAACAGTAGCTTTGCACATCGGCCTTCCTCCACCACCACCAAACCCTAACCCTAATAATAACGCCTCCCCTCTTCCACTTGAGGGACAGTACTGGATCCCTTCCCCTTCCCAAATCCTCGTCGGCCCGACTCAGTTCTCCTGCCCCGTCTGCTCCAAGACCTTCAACCGTTACAACAACATGCAGGTTAGTTGGGTTCATTAATTCATTCATTCCTTCCTTCCCTCTCTTTCTTGGTTTCTTTCTTTTCTTCCTCACGATGTCGTTGTTTTTCAGATGCACATGTGGGGCCACGGGTCTCAGTACCGAAAGGGCCCTGATTCGCTTCGGGGAACGAAGCCGGCTTCCTCGATGCTTCGTCTGCCGTGCTACTGCTGCGCCGAGGGGTGCAGAAACAACATCGACCACCCGAGGTCGCGGCCGTTGAAGGACTTCAGGACACTGCAGACGCACTACAAGAGGAAGCACGGCGTCAAGCCGTTTGGGTGCAGGAAGTGCGGCAAGAGCTTTGCGGTGAGAGGGGATTGGAGGACGCACGAGAAGAACTGCGGGAAGCTCTGGTTCTGCATCTGTGGGTCGGATTTCAAGCACAAGAGGTCGCTCAAGGACCATGTTCGTGCTTTTGGGGACGGACATTCTCCACATACCGTGGAAGGGTATGTGGAGAATGGAGGAGAAGATGATGACGATGAAGAAGAAGAAGAAGATTGCAGTAATGATGATGATGATGAAGAGGAATATTGTTATCCACGTTTGGACAATAACAATGGTGGGCCGGCTCGTCATCGTCATATTATTAATCGTGGTGGTCCGTTCCTCTACTAATTATTGACTGATTTTCAAATATAAGTTATTGGAGTATTATTAGTCAAAATGGGTTTGGTCACTAATTGTTGTAGTTATTATGATGAATATAAGTCTGAATCGAAGTTAAAAGCTTACGACATTAACACTTCTGGATCGGATCGTCAATACACGATTCTTTCTACGTAGAATCGTGATTTTCAGCGACAAGTGAAGTCGAAATCTCTACGCTTAAAAAACTCAGATTTTTGTATGTATTTGTAGATCAACAGGACGCTACTTGTTTCTATGTAGAATCATGATTCTGAGTGGATTGATGATGATGTAGGAATATCCGAAGGACGTTATTGTTGTAGTTAATTATGGGATTGGGAGTGTGTATATTTGTTTGGTATTTAAGATGAGGGTGGGAGGAGATGGAGATGGAGATGGAGACAAACAGTATAGTGAAAGGCTGAAAAAGGCGATAGGTCCCTGGTGCAGTTATTACTACCTCTTGCAAGTGCTAGTTCTAAGTTGAAAGGTAAAAAAGACAAGACCTCTTTTTTGGTTATATATGCTTTTCCCCCTCCTCCTACCTTTCTGCTCTGCATTTAACGTACGGGAAATAATAACTGAGAGGTAAGTAAGTTAAGTGAGTGAGTGAGTGAGAGCTAGTGATATAGATAAGCAGCAGAACACAAACAGTGGTAGAGTCACAGATTCTACTGTTCGTTCTCTCTCTTGCTTTCTCTTCTCACCTTTTACCCTTTTCCCAGTTCTCTCGCAGAGCTTCGACTACCACTGGAACACTTTGATCGAGCCTCTCTACTGGCAGTGAAACGAAAGAGAAGAGGGGAGAGAGAGGGAAAAAACTCATAAAAGGGTGGTTGTAAATATTGGACCACTTCTTTCCTTTTTTTTACTGGTTTTGGGGTTTTCACCCAAAGGGTAATGCAACTTTGCCTTTCCTGACTAACTACAAAGAGATACTGCTGCCACCACTTTCTTCAGCCCTAATGTATTTATTAGGGTGACAATGCATACATACATTATATACCCTAGCTACATATAGATAGATAGGATAGGAGTCTCCGCCGGTCTGGACCAAACTCATGAGAACCGTGATTCAGTAGTGAACGACATTAATAGGACCAAGGATCAGAACATCATTATACTCGGTCCGATTTGGTCTTTTTCGATATGGTTTAAGTGTCAGTTCGGGATGTTTCATCTTTAGTATTTATAAAATTTACAGGACCAAATACTGGAACGCATTATGTTCGGTGCGGTATGGTCAGGTCCCTAGGTTAGTCTGGTCCACGTGCGATTCTCTACGGACCAAACCATTGCACACACCCGAGCTTATTATATATGCTTAAGCAATACAACCCTCTTTCCTCTCATGGATACTACTGTTGTGGCATCATCAACCACCAGCAAAGAGGTAACTTGCAGCCATTGATCTCTGGTGTTTAGTCTTGTCTATACAACTACGTGTGTCATGATTGTCTATTTATTGTGTCTCCTCTAATAACCTGTCTTATCATATACATACAAAGTCTCCATCTTCATTATATATTACATCACATCACATCCCATTATTCTGATAGGTTTTTAGTCACTTTTTGACACATTATGGAAAGTTTGCAGACTGAGTTTTGAGCCCTGACCCCATTTGACCGCCCACCTTTACATATGCGTGAAATGACAAACTTCAAATCTTTGAGCTTTGGATACTATCCCTGGGTTATATTTACTCGAACCTGCTGTCTACTTTCTGCCCTAGAACTATTTCCACCCTCGAAACTAATGATCTTTATGAATCATCTTTTCAAGCCCGTGCTTCTTTATACTGCTTTGGTATAGGGGCTGAAGTGTTTATGCATGAGGCTGAAGTGATACCATTGAAACATATGTACATGTCCTCATGTGATTTCAGTTGTTAGAAGCATATGATAATAAGAATATACCGTGTTTGATATTTGTCATACGCATTTTTCAAGGTGACATAAATACTAATAACTCAGATGGCCCCAATAGGACTATACAATCTTAGGGGTCGTTTGCTTCAAGGATTTGGTACCAAAAAACCAACTATCAAGGATTTAGGTACAATCCGTTGTTTGCTTGCACCTTTTTTGGAGACCAAATCCGTGGGGCCCACGGATTTTAATGGTCCAAATCCGTGGACCCCACGGACTTATAAATCTCACATGTTGATGTGGGATTTGGAATATGACATAAATCCTTGATGAGATTTTACCCATATACCCTCATGCACTTTTAATATTCCAAGGTTGCCCTCAAATTTAACTATTATACATTATAATTAACAATAATTTAACTATTATACATTTTCTCGTTTATTATTATTGTCCATGTGGCAACATTATGCTTATTAGTATGTATTGTCCTTGTTTTTTGTACATATCATAAACATGTCAAACATATAGAAAATGATAGTAAGGTAATTTTGAAGTTTTGTCCTTGTTTTGTGTACATATCATAAACATGTCAAACGTATAGAAAAGGGCAGTAATGTAATTTTTGAATTCAATTAGTAAATCCCACACCTTTAAACCCATGATAAAAACATCCCAGCAAACAAAGGATTGTTACAAATCCATGATGCCTCAAATCCTTGATAAATCCTTGAGTTTTTAAATTACAAAACCCTCATTTTTAAATCCATGAAGCAAACGACCCCTTAATGTTAATATAATAAGAAGAAAGATATGAGTGGAGTATATAAAGATGATAGGGATAAGAGTGGAAGAAAATAAGTAATATAAGCTGAGGAAACAAATCTTACATTTTGGTTGGCATTTTATTATATATAAAGAGTTCTAGTCATTTGAGATTTTAAGGTCTCATTTCATGCATTTTAGATAATATAGGTCAAAATAACCATTGATTATACAAAAATACACGTTTTTTTGAGAATACTCATTTAGATTTCGAACTTCCAAGCCACCCTATAGTTTATTTCGGAATATAACTTGACGGCGATTAATATTTATCTTAGAGATGACAATCAAACATGAACAGTGGGTATTCAATCAGAACCAACTAGGTCAAACTGGGTTGTTGATGGGTTTTAGATCGAATACATATTTTACCCGGGTTTGGAATTGGTCGGTTGGGGCTGGCGCGAGTTTACCAAAATCCAGCTCGCTTTCAACCCAAACCGCAACATAAAAGAATAACGACATCGTTTTGTATCTAACCCTAATATTATGGGTAATTTATAGATATTATTTATCTTTATAATAATATAGTCCTAATAACATGGATAAAGGTAGCTAAGTTATTAGCTTATATGATAGTATATAGTTCTAGGGAATTTGTCAATGATATAAGATTATGAGTGTTTGGAGGAATCGTTTGCGGTTATCTCCATGAACTCATGGATAACATACACGTGTGAGTGTCTGTTGAGTTAAGTTTTATCTTTCAAAACTCTATGGATAATTTATTGCAAGTTTTTAATAGTTGCAACCGCTGAAATGGATAGGAGTTAAAAAAAAAAAAATCGATCCATTGCCACTAGCCCACTAGCTAATTTAACTTTCAACAAGAGAGGGAATGTTTCTATATTGAGGGCGTGACAATTAGAGGACTTGATCGACTTCGAAAAGTCATTCAAAACTACCAATGAAGGAAAAGATGGCAACATCGCACGTAAGAAGAAACTGTAAAGAAAATAATTAAAAAGATGCTCTCTGGTGCATTAAGACAAACACCTTACCTGCACAAATTTTACAGTGACGAAGGGGGAAAATCAAAAGTTACGGGATGTGAAGTATCAGAGGCTTCTCAGAATCATCTGTCCGCATTATTATAGCAATATTGAAGGGATAGGTTTGGGAAATATTTCAGAGCTTCTCAATTACTTCGAGCACTCAATTTATCAACTGGTAGCAATAAGTTCTGCGAGTTCACAAGCATCTCTAAGGGTTGAATTTTTCTTTTTTGGAATTGAAATTGGAGACCTCTGATGAGGCCGAGATTCAGAGAAAGAGTAAATACCTTTGTCGTGAGAACAAAATGTAAATGGAGTGGTAGTTTCGTTCCGGCGCCCAGAGCCAGAATGTGCATTGCACTTGTACGTATAGGTGTCAAAACAGAACCCGACCCGACTAACCCGCCCGATCAACCCGATCCGCGATCCGACCGCAACCCGAATTGACTAAAAGTCAACAACCCGCAACCCGCCCGACCCGCAACCCAATTGACCCGCAACCTGACCAACCCACAACCCGACTGACCCGCAACCCGATTAACCCGAACCCGATTAACCTGCAACCCGATTAAATCCGCAACCCGATTAACCCGAACCCGATTGACCCGAACCCGACTAACCCGTAACCCGACCAACTCAACTCGAACTTCACTTAATCCACTTGAATAATTATTATATTATATAATACATAGTTTCTCAAAATAAAGTTTTCATTCTAAACTTAAGTAAAATTATTTCTTCATTTCGTATAGGAAATTTAAAAATATGAAACTCACTTGATATTATGTATTTTAAAAAAATTAAAAAAATTGAAATGAGAAATGATGAAACAGACAATTGCAGCAGGACCACAAGACATGCCATGCAGATGAGAGTTGCTGATTTTTCAATCACAATCTATGGATCTGCCCATGCAAATGGATGGAAATTGGGTGCATTATGTGGATTACAATACACTTTAGCCTAGTACGTTGGACATGGCTCAGGAGGGTGAAAGTGCAAAGAGAAAATGACAAAGTCACCTTCAAATCCACTTGTCTCTCTTCCTTGAAACTAGCCTATAGCCCGGCCCGTTGGCCGCATTTGTTTAAGGAAATGGAGTTACAATATCTATAATGATAGTGTCGAGAAATGAGTCTTGTTTTATATTTTCATAAGATTGTTGCAATTTTGCAATTCGTTGAAGACGAACTTGTAATATGAATGAACATTCATAATAAGTTAGAAATACATTTGAAGATTAGCTAATCACAATAAAAATACTTACATGAAATTTTACTAATCACAAATCTAATCTAGTTGAGTATTACGACAAATAACATGCAAGTCCAAAATAAGAAAACTCAATACATTGTCTCATTATTCATAACATGGTACTCAATTCAACAAAGGCAAAAATAATTTCACCAACACAAGTTCACAATAACCAAATGTATCGTTCCAGGGACCAACTGTGACCATGACTTCAAATGTCTGTTCTCCAAGCATGTTCAGAAGGGCCATATAGTCAGCATTGACAACATCTGCAT